GTCCCGTGTACACATTGGCGTGCTCGTAACAGATCCCTTGACAGTTAGAATTCGATATAAGAGCAGGCCGTAGTGCCGCTGTCCGGGAAAAATTTCCCTCATAGCACACTGTATGGAGTATGCCCATCTTCATTAGCCCAGATCAGAGCAGAACAGTAGGACGTTAAACCCCATTTCATTTCATTTCATTTCGTTTTTCTTATGATCTTTAAACATTAATTGATTTGAATTTTTTTATAAGCAATAATTCAATATAGTTTGCAGTATTTGAAAGTGTAACGTTCCATAATATAATAATAATAATAATAATTTTATTTTCAATGCATGTTAGGCCAAAGACCCATAGTACACTCAATATATGTTAGTTCATGAATATTCATATTGTTAATCGACAATTTTAACATCTATTAATAAATACAATTCATTTTCAATATACATGTACAGTCCATTAGATATATTTGTACAGTTTCATTTTTCAGTTGATCAGACATACTTTCAATATCCAATGTTATAAGTAATTATGATTATTCACATTGTACTTTGTGATTGTCCTTTATGTTTAGATTTTGATTTTATGTAATTGTCTCTTTTCAAGAATGCATGATATACAAATTTGCATATATTATTCATTACATCATCACATTTACTTTGTAAATAGTTTAAGGTTGATTCTCTATAATCAAAGTATGTGTTTACTTTATACAAAACTCTTAAATCGGTATAATTTTCACAAATTCTCAGAAAGTGTAATTCGTCCTCGACCACAGTTTTGCATTTAGTTAGACAGCAAAATTGACAATATCTCTCATAGCTATTTACACTGTTCGCTCGACCTTTCTCTATCTCTAAATTATGACTACTTAATCTGAGTCGACTGTAAGCGACTCTATACAATTTATTTTCAACACATGACAGGTATTTCTCTGGTTCTAACAGAGATTTTATCTCACAATAGAATTTAAGTTTACTACAGCTTTCTATGTTTTCATGCCATTTCTGGGTACTACAATCTTTCACTCTTTGTTTGAATGTATACATAAAATTGTTTGAATTTCCTACTTGTTGACAGAACCAAACATATTGGAAGCCATAGATACTCAGTAATTCCTTAATCTTGGTAGCCCAAGTTATCCTACCAGCATTATGTAATTTTAGTAACATTTCATAACATCTTTTTGGGTATCTTTCATCACCCATTTCTAATATTTTTAGCCAATACTTAACGCACTTAGAGTTATATATGACATATAGCGGTGACCGTCCCAATTCCCCAAGTGCGGCACAGTGTGTTGTGGTTGGTTTTACACCTAAGATTTTTATGCAGAATTTGTTTTGCACTGATTCTATTTTACTATATACTTCAAAACCCCAAATATCAGCACCATAACATAATATTGGGACAATCATATGGTCAAACAGAAACAGTGCCCTTTTATGACTTAGATTGTAAGTGTTAATAAACTTATATATAGGATGCAGAGCTCTTTCTGCTGAAAGACATAGTGATTTGATAGTTCGGTGCCAGTTATTGGTGCTAGTAAAGTAGAGGCCCAAATATTTGTATTCTTTTACAATTTGTCGTTCTTTACCTTTGAAGGTCCATTTTTCATTTGCTTTTACCTTACCGCCCCTCTTAAAGACCACTATTTTTGTTTTATTTGTATTGACTTTCATGTGATATTTGAGACAAAAATGTTCCAGCACATCGATCTGCTTCTGTAAGCATCCTACTGTGTCTGCTACCTCAATGTCATCTGCAAATAGTAACTGCATGAGGTTTGGAACCTGACTATCAACAAATATACCTTGACAATTTGCAGCATCCATCATACTGATATACTCATTCAAGAACATTACAAATAATATCGGGCTTAACATACAACCTTGTTTTGTTCCAGTAGAACACTCAAAATAATCTGTAAGGCTATTTTCAAATAAGACACACGATTTCATCTTTTCATACATAGACTTTATAACTTGGACAAAATTGGAGCTTATATTGTTTTTAGCAAGAGTATATAGCAAAAGAGGATGTTGAACACAGTCATACGCGGCTGTGAAATCAACAAATATGCAATATATTCTGCCCTTGGTTTTGCTTAGATATTTCTGTATGAGTGAGTAAAGTGTGAAGCAATTATCTACCGTGGAATACCCATGCCTATAACCCGCCTGTTGTTCTTTCAATTTATTTTTCTCACATTCGGCCCATAATACAAGTCTGTTATTCAGGACTTTAGTGAAAATTTTCCCCATTACATTCAAGAGTGATATTCCTCGATAATTTGTCGGTACTGACTTATCTCCTTGTTTATGTATGGGGAGTATGATTGATTTACTCCAGCTATCTGGGAATATCCCTTGACTTAAAATACAGTTAAACAGGGAATTAAGATATGGTAATAATATATCATGTGCATTCTTAAACATTTCAATTACTAAACCATCTTCTCCACTTGCTTTACCATTTTTCATCTGACCCAATGAGTGAACAATTTCTTCATCAGTAATAAACTCATCTAGTATTTCTGATTCTACATTAAGAATTGTCTGATTAGAACCTTGAATGTCACTTTTTTGTAGCAGATTTTGAAAATGTTCACTCCATTGTTCAGCTGAAATTACATTTGTTTGTTTGTATTTATTAAACGATTTTAGTTTATTCCACATATCATTACAGTCTTTGATAGATACAACTTCATTTATTCTCCTCTTGGCAGCATTTTTTTTACTAGAAGCGCAACAACTTTTAAAATCCTTTTTTGATTTTAAATATACATGAAGATCATAATGAGTTCTAGTCTTTCTAAAATTATTCAGATTTTGATATTTCAATGCCTTCATTTCGGAAGGCAGTTTATTCCACCAAAATGGCTGATAAGATTGTTTGTAGGGCTTATGTTTACATTCCATAGGCTCTGCTGCTTTCTGCATTGACTGACATAGAATATCTGTTGCCCCATTTATATCTTGCTTTAATACATTCATAAAATTGGACAACTCTCCATTTAACTTACTATCAATTAATGCGTCCCTAAATTGTGACAGATGTTGTACACCCCACTTGTATTTCAATCTTTGATTTAACACATTTTGATTTCCAGACTTAATACAGGCTGAGTTTATACTACATATAATTGGGAAGTGATCTGAAATATTAATGTCTGAAACATACATATGATTTATATTCTTAAACAGTGATGATGAGACAATGTTATAATCATTCAGACTTTTACCTAGATGGGACATATATGTGAATCCCCCTAAATTATCTCCCTTTACCCTACCATTTACAATGTGAATATTTAGCTTTTTATTCAGTTCTATGAGATACCTGCCAAAGGTGTTCACCGTTTGGTCTCTGGAGTTTCTAGCTTCGGTATCATATTCAGAACTATTATTGGAAGCATATCCTAGAGGGAGGAATTTGTCCTCCTGTATGTCTACATGGTCACTTAATGTTCATGTCCTGGAATTTAGATCCCCACATAGAAATATGTCCAAATCTTCAGCATGATTTTCCGTTATTTCATTAATATCATTTTCTATAATATCTATACCATTACAGTTTCCATCGTGTACCTGTTCATAATAATTTGAATTTATCGGGGGAACATATGAGAAACAACATAGAACATCATTTCCTGTCTGGAACAAAATTTGATTAAAGATAATAATAATACTACAGTAATTTATAATTACTTTCCTAATGAATTTCTTCAGTTTACTACTCACATATACACATATGCCATGAGGTGTGATACCAAATTTAGAATGTTTTAGTCCAATATTTGAGAATACTTTATAGTCATTAAATATCCCATCGTATTCATTTTGTTCTGCAGCCCATGTCTCTAGTAAGCAAATGCAGTCATACTTATACAGCTGCTGTATTATATCTGCTCTATTCTTAAGTCTCTGTAATCCACATATATTCCATGTTATGAAATTTATATCATAAGAACTATTTACATCATCACATTGAGTGCTTGGACCCTGGCCTAACCATCATTTTATACCACCGACTTTATACACAGACTTATTCAGAATGTCATATTTGAAAACTTCATGCCCTATAACTAATCTATCAAAATTGAGTTTCACTTTTATGTTCGGGTTTTCTTTTTAAGTTCATTTATATGCTTAACAAGCCCTCTTCTCTTATTTCTAACATCTTGGCTATAGTCTTCACTGACCCTAACATTTACATCAGAATTATTTTTCAAATGTATTTTTGCTGCAGAAAGTATAAGTTCTTTATGTTTTAATCGGTTAAACTGTACTAGGATACCTCGTGGTATGGGATTTTTGTCTTTATCTTCACCTATCTGACTAGTAGAATCTTCTGTTCTATTGTTCTTTGTTTTCTTTCTTCCCAATCTCATACATCTGTCAATGGGCAGACTGTCATCACTTAAACCAGATTCTATCTCTAAAGTGTTTACCAAAAATATAATACAATGTTTTGGAAATATCCCCATTTGTTCTCGGATTGTTTCCCTTATTGTTCGTTTGTTTTCATTTGGAGTGAAGCCTGTACCATTACAGAGCCGGGATTATAACAGAACTTGGACGGACGTTGTTTTAAATGATTGTATATATTGTGTCCGTGGACTTGTGTAATTATTTATATGCCGTGCGGTCATCCCGTTTTTGCTAGTACATGTGTGGCAAGGCAGGTAATAAGACTATGTTTCCCCACTGATAAAAAAAGAAATAAAATAAATGAGATTTAACGTCCTACTTTTCTGCACCGACATAGCTAATACGTGGTGAAATTTTGCCTGGATATTGGCACTGTGGTCAACTGTCATGGGATCTTTTACGTGCACGTCAACGTTTACACTGGACATTGGTTTTTCGTCCCACCCGAACGACCTAGCACTATCCTTGCCAGGCCTGCGGCTCGCTAATACCAAAGGGAATCTTTACTATGTCACAGTGTTATGTTATTATTGTTGCGTTATGGTTAGCGACGCCCTTAGTAATGATAACAATAAAACAGCCGAATAGTTTATTGATTCAAAAATAAAACAGTAACATTATTTATAATATTTCGGTGTGTTTAATAAATGATATTAATACCACAATTATCCTTTTCATGCCTGATGTTTCCAAAGGGAGATAATCGAAATCGAAATATTCTGAGATCATTGAATAATTATTTACAACAGTTTCAGTGACGCCTCGAAGCAAATGTGCCTGTCCGATCTTGATATTCAAGAGTTTTTATTTTACACAAATTATTTTATAGTATGTACTACAATAGTTGTTTGATGTAACACAGATCATTTACTGACAGTTTGAAAAAATAGCTATTGCCTTATGTATATCACATAGTGTCACAACAACAAATAAGTAAAGTTAATTATTTATACGTTCAGCACCTTTTTAATCATGATTTCCACCAAAACAAAAACCATCAAAACATAATCCCACAGTATTGCCAATTCTGTGGGTCCGCACATAAATAAACTTGATATCCCATAGTAAAAATAGGTTAATTGCATTTATGCTAGTACATTGTCATAATTCCATTTATAAGACAATTGATCATTGAAACTTTGAAAGTCTTTTTCCCATCAGTTTATGTATGGACCCACAGAAATGATACCCCCGCCCCCGGTTCCTCGCTCCCCCCACACCAGACAAATCTAGAAACCTTAAATATCGTCATGGTATATAACCCCATGTTATAACTCACTGACTCGCCACCACCATGTGAAAATAGAATCCCGATAACACCAGAAGAAAGTTCTGGCAATTCCAAATACACAAAATACATTTATGAGTTAATTTTAGGGTGCATGGTTTATGATTTCATTAAAGATGCAGTGTCGAATTATTAATGTACGAAATTGATATAGCATACAAGGAACTGTTTCCCGACCACTGTCAGACATCTTACCACTGGCAGGTCTTTGAAAGTAAATTTACCCCATCCCCAGGTGTGTTCAATAATAAAGGTATACCTATGAGAAAGCAATTGACAAAGGGAAGATTTTGAGAATACTATACAATAACAATATCCGATTTTTTTTCGCTTTTTTAAAATTGTCTATTTACAAATCCGGAATCACAAAATCCCCCCCCCCACCTTCCTCTCCCCTTGAGATTAAAACGAATATGACGATAGCAATAATCATGTACATATGGGGAAATAAACAAACAATCGTTATAATAATAATAATAATAATAATACAAATTTTCATATTTATTTAAAGATATATTCCTTTCATAATTTGTGCTGTAATCATATTAAAATTTGTTTGATTACGAATGTGTAGACCTAAATATTATTTTTTCGAATAGCCAGTTGCTCCCGGTTGATAAAGTAGTATAGGATATGAATTTTATTGCAGTAAAAGCCAAATAAAGACTTTAAGCGTGTGATTTAATATTGCCCGTCCACCAGCATACTCCTCGCCGTGTTTCGTTTGCTTAGACCTAATCCCATTGCTTCGGGAATATGGTCCACCAGAAGAACCATGGTTTTTAAAAAGGAAAATATCTTAAAAGAAAACGATTTACATGACAAATAACACATGATAACATACGATAGCAGTATATTATAACAATGACTAGAACAGATCCCCATAAATTATGTTTTATTCATCAATAATTGTCATATAGATCTTGGGATTCTCGGTTTGGTGTCAGACTTGCGAGGTAGCGAATATAACTCAATAGATCATCAGTGTCTCTTTCATCCATAGATTGCTCTCCCCATTGTTCATCTGTGCTGTCACCAGTTCGTGTCCATTTCTTACCCTCGGGATCAGTGCTGGCAGTTTCAGGGATAGCTTCCAGGTTCATATCACCTTCGTCGAAATTATCCCAAGAGTAGTATGGAGGTCCGGAATTGAAACAGTATTTTCTTTCAGCTGTCTTGTCACCATCAACATAGTACATCATATAGAAGTTACACATCTCATCGTCAGCTGTGGGCCTGGAAAAAATACAAACATGATTTGTACTAATACAGCCATCCGCATTCCTCGAAAAATTCCAGGTATTGTAATTAATACTATAAGTCCTCCCCGGCGGAAGGGATAACCCAGAAAGTAGGAGAGATGGATTCCTATTAAGATTTAGGACGGCAGAAAATGGGTTAACCCAGAAAGTATGGGGAGATGGATTCCTATTAGGATTTAGGGCTACATGAAATGGATTAACCCAGAATGTAGGCGAGATTATTTCCGATAAAGAAAATACTAGCATGATGAGGCTTGCATGCCAGCGAATCCGTAAACAATCTACGAGCGTGAGATTTCCTTTATTTTCTTTACTTCTGACTTTGCATATCGTCAATTTGAATTACGTAGATATATGGAACGGCCAAAACTTCCCTTCGCTTTATTCTAATTTATATTTTCTACCCAGCTAAAGGGGCATGGAACTGTCGTATACCTTAATTTGGAAAGGCTACCTGGCATAAAATTCTTTTAAATTGTAAATAATCCTTGTAAATTTTATATAAGATCAATCGATAAACGCCATCTTTAGAAAATGACTTCATAATGCTAGGTTCCCACTACCACGATTCGTGCTGCGATTGAGGACTTATCATATATTGTGGTCAGTCGCAGCAATCGTGTTGATCGTATCGAAACGTATCCGAACGTATCTGCACGTACCAGATCGTGGAATCAATGGGGAGAATCATATCCTAACGCATCGCACGGTAGTGGGAACCTAGCATTAACTGCACGCTAACAGCACGTTCAGCCTCATCATTGAGTAGTCAGTGACAATACCTCGTACACGACACCAGTCAGTAGATTCAAACCTATGGTCAAGCTGCTATCAATGTTATAAAAATTATATTATAAATGTAATACTCACCCTATATTTACCGGGTGGTCTTTCGTATTTTCGTAAGTACACCGGGCTGCCTGTAAATTTAAATTGATAGAATTAAAACTACAGTCATTTTGATATTAAATTAGACTTTGTGGATAGGTGGTCGAATGGTTAGCGCGTGCGCCTTGCATCATAAGGTCTGGCGTGGTTTTGATTCCTCGGTTGTACGTGACAAGGAGTATGGTCGCCTGTCCTAACCTCATGGGTTTTCTCCGGGTCCTCCGGTTTCCTCCCACTGCTAAAGAACCCTACGCGCAAGCGAATTATTGAAATTAAATTGAACCATATGCTAATCCAGAAATGAACTAGTTTGTGTGGAGTGGACGTTAAACCCCATTTCTCTCTCTCTTTCTCTGTCGTTAAAAGTGGATCATTGAGTGTCGCTGAATGTACCTACAGAATGACAAATTAACATCCACCAACGTCTCGATCTAGCCTTCATTGTATGCATTTTGATACGTTTAATTACTCTTCAAGAAACGATCTTGTTTCTCATAATGCTTTAGTTATACCTACCAAAATATCACCTTTCTTTACAGATATGTTAGGCGTTGTTGCATTGTAGAACGTCTGCAAAATAAAACAAAACACGGCGAAATTACTTATCCCCTTTCCATCACGAAAATATTAAAATTCCGCCCAAGTATTGCAGATCATAAAGGCATTACAAGCGTTTAAATGCATGCAATGTTTGCAATTATTCTGTAATGATTATGTATCATGCTAATTTCTCCACACAAAAGCACTCCTTTGATGGAAATTGCTACTTCCACCCTTATCAAATTAACTCTACCAATTGCGTTTAAAAGGAAGTTTAGCACTGTAGAAGACATTCTCTGCCTCCCCAATGGCCACGTTTCGTTCTTCTCCATTAACCTATTGGTCCATTCACAGGGAAGACACGTATTCAAATTATCCGCCTTTGATGGCAGAACGACTTGCCACTGTCCATTTTGATTGACATAAAAATATCTTTCCTATCCAAAACATGTTTTAGAAAATATTTTTGTGTGAATATGTCACTTCTCTGATATCTAACTTCTTTTTTTAACTTTTTTTTAACAATCTAGCGTACAAGCCTCCTTATTGGTCGGAACCTAAACAATGACGATAAGATTGGTTTCTAAACTGTTTTGTGACATCAACCTTCGTTGCCAATGAAAGCATCAAGGGCAAGTAACTTTAGTTTGTGACTAACTTCTGAATGGACCCACGGGTTAGTGGATATGAACAGAACGATACCACTTGGGATACCGAGGTTGGACAGAAGAGGAACCATTTATTCAGAACCGTGCATCTATATTTTCAATATTCTATACTGATACAATAGAACAAGCGGAAGTTTACCTGTGGTTTTTGTGGACTCTTGCGGCCAATCTCGGTCCATTCACCATCTCGTATCCTGTAGCCAGATACAACGCGTCCTGATAACGAAAATAAACATGAAAAGATATTACACAGTGATTGCATACATTTATATTACACCATTCCAGGTCCAGTCCCTGACAGAAGTCGCATCTTCTAGGTAACTGTATGTTCCAGGTGTTCTATTTGTTTAACCTTAAAGGACAATTAAAGGACACATGTTATAAATTTTGGTCTTTGAAGGAAAAATCAGTGAGCAGAAATTCGACCGTGTATCAGTCAGTTATATAGAAGGATAACTCTTGTTTTTAACTTTTTGCGTCACTTCCGTTTCTTGAAATCTTCGTTACACGTCTATCGTAGCAACGATGTCTGTGTTAAAATTATATTTTGAATGTGTTTAACCAGTTCTATCACGTATGTGATAATGACTGACACGAATATTGTCCTTTAAGTGTATTTATTAATTTTCATTCATACATGTTACATATACCTAAAACACGTATACTTGTTTCAAGTTATATACTATGTATTTGTATGACATGTTATAAATGATATACTATGCAATTGTTTAAGATGGTATAAATGTGTATTTGCATATGTTAGAAATAATATACTGTGTATATGTATGATACAATGATATACTAAATGTATGTAGTCGTATGGCATGTTATAAATAAGATACGTACTCTGTATGAATATGTTATAAGTCATATACTATGTATTTGTATGGCATCATATTTGTAGATGTTAAATATTATATACTTTGTATTTGTATATGTTATTAATTATAATACTGTATATTTGTATGATATGGTATAAATTATAACCTATGTATATTGTTATAGTATGTTATGGATTATATACTTTGTATATTTTTATAATATGTTGTGACTATGTATATGTACTATAAAGTTTTAAATTATATACTATGTATTTGTATGCCATGTTATAAGTCATATACTATGCATTTACATGATATGTTATAAATTATATACTATATATGCATTTGTTTATACTATGGATATACCGTGTATCTGTATGATACGGCGTATGTATATGTTATGAATTATATAAGTTATAAATTATATACATCGTATCTGTATGCTATGTAATCACAAAATAATTAAGAAAAATAAACAACTTACCCAGTGCATGGGTGTGTGTTCTGAAGCTCATCGGATGAATTGTCACATCTTCATCAAATTTACATGCTGTCTCCATGTATTCTAAAATAAAGTACGTTGTTAAAGAAACAGGTAAGTATACGAACACTTTGCCGCCAATTTTAAAAGACCCTTTTCTGAATAATGTTATTACAAAGAAAGTACATAAGCGTGAACACATTTACATAATGAGAATTTTAAAATGTTAACATTATTGCCCGAAGTCTAAAATTGTGTTAATTTAAACAACAATTATTTTGTAAGATAAGTAAATTAAAAGTTGATATAGAATGGAACAAATATGTCGCATTATTCAAATCGCTGAGTTAATTTTCAACAGGGTGTGTCCTTTTCACTACGTTAGTCAATCCGATATCCAATTATAAGTCAATTCGACCCTAATGTTACTTGAGTCGTGTGGCGAATATAAGAGAAACTGCTAACTGATAACATAACTAGTCTAAATATGTACAAAATTATGGAAGCCTATAACTACCATTCGTAGTTTCTACTTTTCAACCCTTTAAAACACGAAAGCCGAAAAGTAGAAGTTACGACAAAATGTGAGGCGACAGCAAACTATGCAAGTCAAAATCGACTCAAAAATAGGAAATTAAGAAATGATACACCGCGATAATAGCGCCCCTCGTTTTTTCCTAATTTCTAATTTTCGACTTGCATTTTGGCTTGTGTACCGTCTTGTCGACTGTCGACTTGGTCATATTTTTGTATTTATTTATGTCAGTAAGAGGGCGCCAACATGCATACCAAGCCAAAATGAACCTCGAAAAGTAGAAATTAGGAAATAAACACTATCGCACTATTAGCGACCTATCATTTTGGCTTGCTGTCGTGCTGGTGACTTTTCGAGATTCGCCTCCGAAGTTGTTGTAGTCTCGATTTTCCAGGTCACATTTGGATACGTGCAATTAGGGTTCACACGGGCTTTCATTTTTTTCCGCCAATTTAGGCCTATTTTAAAACAATTATCCCGTACATATACAACATACAGCAACTTACAAAATCCGTATTACATTGGGGTTGGGTGGTCTAGTGGTTTAATGCGTGCGCGTGAAATCACAAGGTCTGTCATTGTATCAAATGGCGGGGTTTCGATTCGCCGCTTAAACGTGACAAGGGTGTAGGGTCGCCTGTCCAACTTTGTGGGTTTTCTCCGGGTACCCCAGTTTATTTTCACTGCTAAAGACACCTACGTGCAAGTGAATTATTGAATGGATATTCAACCCTCTTTACACAATACATTAGCACAGTTTTGGTATGATTTACTAAGATCAGATTTACTAAATACAAAAATATGACTAAGTCGAAACTCGACAAGACGATACAAGCTAAAATGCAAGTCGAAAATTAGAAATTAGGAAACAACGAGGGGCGCAATTATAGCTGTGTATTATTTTTTAATTTCCTATTTTCGAGTCGATTTTGACTTGTATAGCGTGCTGTCGCCTCACATTTTGTCGTAACTTCTACTTTTCTACTTTTCGACTTTCGACTTATGAATGGTAGTACTAGGCTTCCATACAAAATAATTCATCCTCAGTCAATTTAATGAATCTTTGTGTATGTAATTTGTGAATGCTACCGAACTTTAGATATACGGCTATAAACAATTCAAGTTGTTATTGATTGTTAACTGGGATGTAACGGCCGCCTCAACAGTGAATAATATAGCAGACAAACCTTACGTTAGTAAATTCAGCGTATGTACAGGGTTCTTTCTTATTCAATGAAACCAGAGCAAATCCAATGGGTTAAGAGCACGTTCCTATCTCCACAGCACCTACGCTAACACGAGGGATCGAATCAAAGACTGTAAGCCAGTTTACTGACCAGCCAAAGCGCGAGTCGTGACAATCTAGCCCTCCCCATCCCCCGCCCTCACCAACACACAATACGGAAAAGCTACTCTCTATTAACCAATCAACAATCTAAATCCCCATGAACAGGTGATAAGAGATTTATTGAAAAGCTATGCTGTATTAATCAATCACCCATCTAAATCACAGTGAAAAGGTGGTAAGAGATTTATTGAAAAAAAAATCGTTAAAATCATATACTCTTTATAAAAATATCGTTACTTACCTACAGAGTTTCTGGGTAAAGTACCCGATGATCCAAGTAAATAGATACCTGCTGTTTTAGGTAATCTATAGAAATATACATATGTTATAGTTAGCAAAAAGCTACCATTAATCACCTAAAGGCACAATAATCATAATTCAAACTGAAAGCCAAAAATAAACTTTCAGAGAATGCACAAAAACAAACTGGTACTAAAGTCATTCAAATCGATCAGTTCTGACTTAAGATATCATTTTAAGTGTACAACGTCTTCAGCGGGTTGAATGACCGAGCGGTTAACGTGTGCGCGTTGGATCATAAGGTCTTCAATTGAGTCAAACGGCGTGGTTTCAATTCCCAGCTTGTACGTGATAAAACTGGACAGCATACTTTTGACTTGGTGATTTGACAAACAATTTAATAAAATCCAACGGCTACGCGATACTTCTGTCGTTTTTAAAATGACCGCCAAACAAGAATTAGAACACAAACGTGATTAAACGTCACCTCGAAAATGTGGAAAAACTGTTCGGTAACTATTTCATTGTTCCACTCTAGCTATTGGTAACATAATTACTTATTTCCATTCAAACTGCGATGGTATGTGTTGAGAATTTTGCATTTGAAGCTATTTTGAAGGCCTCGAAGAGTGCTTCAATGATAGCGACGGACAAGATAAGACGCAGTTACAATATTGCAGCTGACTGGATTCAAGATTCAATGTGACACTACAATCAATTAGGAACTAACTTTGACTTCACGTTGTGTATAAAACGTCAAGGATTATTGACACTGGAACACTTTGTTGGTTTAACTATGTTTTTATATCTTTATAACATCCATAATGCAAAGGTTACATACAGGAAACTACATACACAATTATGCCATTAAATATAAGGTAAATATAAGTTCTTTATCACTTAGAGCGTGTTCTGTGGCAAGAGCCATTCCGGCCTCTAAGCGGGGGAGGCTGTGGGTATGATGTTCCCCTAGGAACTCCAAATAATGTCCGAAGGCAAATTAAACCCACTCCTTCTTACATAGAAAGTAAGGATATGTTAGCTATTAGGGCGGGCAATTACCATTGTTGGGTAAGAATTTCACATGGGCAACAATATTCTATTTAATTGTACTAATCTGTGCACCAGATGCCTTGGCGATAGTAATGTACTTTCAGCAACTGAAGATGGCAGGGACTGTCTGTGAGTTAGTCTTAGAAAGTTGAATCTTGCAAAATACCTACTTAGACGCTTTCTCGTTGTCACCCATTTGTTTAACCTCTTCAATATATTTAACAGAGCACCTTTCATAGAACTAAAATAACCCCTATAATATTACACCAACATGTGTGACATGAGTGCAATAGGTCAGGTCAACTCAAGAGTGTGGCTCGCTCTTTCGCTTGAGGAATGTTGATGTTGATGCAATGAGCAAGAGTGAGAAATATTAAAATTTTAAAAATATTTCTGTTTTACTATGATCGACAAAGAGAGAGAAGAGAAAAGAAATAGGGTTAACTTGCACTAGACACGAACTAAGTCATTTAGGGATTTACATATCTTTCAATTTTATTTCAATCAATCGCTTGCGCGTAATAGTCTTTAGCAGTGGGCTGGACAGACGAATTCACTCCTTGTCACGTACAAACTGGGAATCGAAACCCCGCAAGTTGACTCAGTGACAAACCTTATGATCTAAGCGCACACGGATGACCACTATTGGACGTTCAGTAAAGAAAATATACAAATCTGATTCTTATAAACTTACGGGGTCGTTGTTGTTGTAAGAGTTAGTCCAGAGCTATCCGTCTCTTTGCCTGTAATTTAAAAGAAATGTCAATAGAAAGGTAAAAGTCATGATATTCTCAATAATCAACAAAGTACAGATTCGTATTATCATCCTTGTCAAATAGAAATTACATCCGTATAGCGCAGATATACAAAATAGTTCCCTTGCACCTGATTATAATTTATCATGAAGAAAATGTTAAAAAATCTGAACTTACTGGGTGGGAGGAATTTGGAAACATCTTTATAATGAACCTGTAATACCAGGTAATCTACATCACTGTCACCACCAACCTTAAAAGCTACATCTACAAAATCATAATACATAGTTAAAGATACATTATCGGAGATTAGATAAAGAGCTGACAGTTCTCACTATAATAGTTAAAAATAGATAAAGTAAAGGGAATTTGCTGAAAATTTCAGTCAAATTGATCCACTCTGAACTGAGAATTTAGCGATTGAATTTTCGGCCTAGCCTCGATCATCATTACTAAAGTCGGTACGATAAAAACATAGTCTAGATTATATCATAAATTAAAGTTGAGCGGCAAATCGGATCCTAATCCAGTAAATATTGCAGGCTAGCGATGACATCGAGAGCTGATTATGGTCTGTATAGTTAATTAATGTCTAATTAATAATTTAGATAACATTTCAGGCCTAAAGAAAGACCTGCAATAAACAGATTTAGCTCTTGCATAATGCATGTTTAATATAAGCTTCGGCTTGTTATCAAATATACCCATACCGTACTCGAAAGAAATAGGGGATAAACCATAACATACTATACCCATACAGCCATTTAATCTGATTACATTTTTATACAAATGTGTGAGTAAGGGATATAAAAGATTGTTGAAAATTATAATGTTTGTTCAAAACAAGAAAGGACATCGCAGAAATCCATTAAATACCCTGGGTAGATTTAAATCCGCGCGCGAAGATTATTAAACGGAAATAAGACAATCTAGCTACGCATAACAGCTACAGTAGCAAGAGTGGGTTGACACCAAGTTGATTATATTGAGAGTAGTAGAGATCTTTCAGAAACTCAAATTAAGTAACTTTTTGGTGGTTAATTATGTATGGCGGTAGCTACGGTTAATTACTGCATGGCGGTAGCTACGGTTAATTACTGCATGGCGGTAGCTACGGTTAATTACTGTATGGCTGTATCTACGGTTAAGTACTGTATGGCTATAGCTACGGATAAGTACTGATTACGGTTAAATAGAATTGGACTGTAGCTACGGTTAACTGCCGAAGGACTGTAGCTACGGTTAATTACTGTATGGCTGTAGCTACGGTTAATTACTGTATGACTATAGCTACGGATAATTAATAACTACAGTTAAATAGAGTTGTACTGTAGCGACGGTCAATTGCTGGATGGCTGTAGATCCGGTTAATTACTGCATAGTTGTAGCTACGGTTAAATCGAGCAGGGCTTTAGCTACAGTTCAGAAATCTACGGCTGTGGCTACGATTAAATTGAGTAACTGTACTACGCCTTTCTAGCAGTAAGATCTTCGTACCGCACTGTAGACCCCCTCCCCCAACCCCCTTTACCACTAAGCCCCCTTGTATTGTTAATCAGGCCATTATCTAAACTATTCTCTAAACACCCATTTTGTATAAATATCTAATAATATACTAGTATTATAGATTAAGTAAATATGTTTCTTCGCAGAAAGCGTGATATTTTCAAACAAACAAGCTGAACACCCACGCTAATGGAGTCGTTTCCCTGGTAACGATATTTTTCTGTTAGTGTAATAGTAAGTGTTGTTGGCCATCAATAAGAGTGCTACATGACGGCATAGTGTTTAAAACAGACTATTCGTGGCATTAATCAATAAAGGACCTTAGCACCAGAAGATTACAATCGATCGCGCCTGTGTGCTTTAATTGAAATAACATTACATCTACATAGAAATTTATATTATAGAAATGTTCACTATACAAGAACAGATTTTTTTTTTAAATCGATAAATAAAATAACCGATTAGAATAGTTCATTAAAGCTGTTCGTTGGTAGTATATAATTGAAATTAAAGATGGCAAAATAAAACTACATTTTTATGCTAACGTTTTCACTCCACTGCTGCGATCGTATGGCGACCAGAAAATGCACAAGGTCGCCGGCAAAGGTGAACACAACGCCGTGACTCGGCGATCATTGGCGACCATGGAGACCATAGCACAATATCTGGTGTTTACACCACGCTTTTACCACGCATATGGCGATGTTGACGCGCTCTGAGACCATTTTCCGTCGCCGTAGCAGCGCAAAAAGGACGCCACCCAGGTCTGACGGGGGTATTAATAAATGCCTGAATAGCGGCTTTTGCGTTGAAAACGTTAGCATAAAAATGTAGTTTTATTTTGCCATCTTTAATTTCAATTATATATATATATTGACTGCAGACTTTTTTAAAATATACCATGGTGTATAATAAATAGGCTTTATGGTAAACTTTATGGTAAACTGTTTTGACAAGACATAGGCTTTATGGTAAACTGTTTTGACATGAAAGAGCGTGTATGGTAAACTATGTGACATCCATGGTAAACGTAGTTTGATAAAGCATGGGGTCTATATAGGGTTTATGGTAAACTTGTTTGGTTATATTTAGGGGTTCTATGGTAAGCTATGGTAAACTTCTTTGACAAGACATGGGGTCCATGGAAAACTTCTTTGACAAGACATGGGCTCTAGGGAGATGCATGTAAAACTTCTTTAATTTAACACTCTGTTATATGATAATCGACTAGTATTGTTTAATCTAAACGGAGTTACATGGTGCGATATAGGTGTGATATATCGCTGTAGCCACCCAATAATTACAAATAATGAAGCCTTAGTTACGGGGACATCAAATCAGTCAAAGCTCATGGGATTTTATGTAAAATAATTGGTTATATATAAATGTAAACAATGACTAAATATTAAGTTAAATACTGGCGTTTCGAATGAATGACGAGTAACTGCTGTGAAACCAGCACGGGGGTCTCAGGTGGGCGTGATTTGACTATGACGCAAACGATTTATTATATTTACACTTGTGAAGAGAGAGGATAGTAACATTTATTCTATGTAATGGTATTGTAATACGACACAAGGGAATAGTTCCAGATACATAAAACTAGACCTGACCAATTTTATAGAGATTATAATAGCAATTATTATTGAATACTGTTATCTTGAACTGCTGTTGTATTTAGGTTAAAAGATTAAAACGTGTAATCCAGATAAGACAATTAATAACAGATATATAAAACGTTTCCATAGATAGTGAAAACAATGAATATGCATTGAAAAACGCTCATAGATATGAAGTATTGGATATGCTACCATGGTTACAACATCAATAGTTATCTTCTTCTATGCTAAAACTCTAATTAGCAAAACTCTTGTTTACCTTTTGGAAGTACTAAGCTAGGTGCATCCATTGCCCAACCAAAGATGATCTTAGTACCAGAAGAACACGTGGGACCAGAACTATATTTACTGTTGGCTGATGCCGCCATCTCCCCACAATTCCTGAAAGTATGTAGATGAATATAGTACCGACATCTTATTCCATGATAATTTATGATCCGCAATACTAGAAAATCATTTTGATGCGATAATTGTCTTAATTTCTTTAAAGTAATCTGATTAAAATACAGATTTATATTTCGTTTCGATCATTTTATACTTTCGATGGTCTCTACTACATGAAGATCTGACCAGTTGTAGTGAGAGGTCGCGTCAGAGGTCATACGAGCGGCTTTTGGACCTATGACGTCAGACATGTTATTAACCAATCACATTGATGTTTCTAGTGGGTTACCAAACTGGCCGTAATAGAACGTTTCATTGCCTAATCCCTCACATCATCCAGAACGCGGGTTATAAACAACTCTTCCAGATCCTAGTGTGGTAAAGACAAGTAAAACGAAATTTTGAACAATAAAAAACGAAACGAAATAGGATCTGTGTTTTAATCACATTGTCTTAAAAGCAATATTTTATCCAAAACATGGCAAGGGCTTGAGGAACTGAAATAACGTATATGAAATCATTTGTAAATAAAATAATGAATAATATGTATTGTCAAACATAAATCAGCGGATAAACATAACAATAATTAACTAAACATTTACACATTATTATCACCACAGCTGAGTCAATTATAGTTTGTCTTTTATTCGTACATGTGGATCCTCTAAGATATCGACAGGTGAGCTTAATTACCCATCGATGTTTTTAATTATTTATAATGTTAACTTTAAAGATGGTTTGCGTTTATTGTGTGTTTCTATATAGTAAGTAAATACGACATTGGCTGGCTAACAAGGGGGTCTTGTGGTCTTTTCAGTGGTGCAGGACGAGAATCTGGAAGTGACATATGTATAGTCGTTCGGATAAGACTATTTCAATTAAACTATTACAAGTATCACTCAAATAACACCTCCCCCAAATGTTGTGGAATAAAATAAGCCGTTCTTCAGACGCGACTTATAATTCAGAATCGTTTTGAACTTTTTCCATGTTTTCACATAAAAATTGGTTTGAGTTTTATTCTTTGGCACCCACTAAACATTTCTGCAAAAATAATTCTCCCTACTCAAACTTTCCTACAGAACCATAGTCAGATCCAGGACTATTATACGCCGCGAGGTTGGCCTGATTGACTAAATAAGGGTATGCTAAACCCTCTTAAATCATCACACCTTTCAGTTTATATTACAGGATACAATATTACTTACCACACTTTGTCTTGTTTTCCAGGTGATTTACAACCATATAGTAACATATGATGGGCAGTCTGCATCTTTGCATGTGGTTCAAATCCAGCTTTAAATAAAAAACAGTTTAGTTTTTAGTTTGAATGAGATATTTGCCTCCAATAAAAATAAAACACTAACATGGAGTACCATGGAGTACCATGCATTATTAATGAAATTCGGGCAACTAGTTTGATTGATATTTGTCATAAAGATTTCAATTATCTAGCCAGAGTGTTTCGGGACCGCTCCTGTTGTTGGCCTAGGAAATACCACGGGGTTTTCCGGTGTGGTGTTCCCTTGTGAGTGGAGCAGGATGGGGGTGGCTGACATGGAACAGTGTCTAGTCGTCCGGTAGGGACGAAAAACCTAGGTCCCGTGTATATGTTGGCGTGCTCGTAAAAGAACCATTGACAGTTGGAATTGGAAGTAAGAGTAGTCCGTAGCTCCGCTGTCCGGGAAACTTCCCCGGATTGCAAACTGTATGGTGTATGCCCCGCCTTCATCAGCCCCATTTGGTGTAGAAGGGAAGATCGTTAAAGTCCATTTCGTTTTATTTGAGCATTGTCTGTATGATATTAAATTTCCGAAGCATTATTCTATATAAACTAGACTTACTTATATATAAGGAATTGTTGAGTTTGGTTGTAAAGCACAAATACGTGTCTTTCTGAAATAAAATTTGACATATCATTCTTTAATTTAAGGTGATAATGTCAGTGATAAGCGATTTTTATCATTAGGCTATTATTCTTTTTAATATAAAAAATGACCAGTGTATTGCAGTGCTGGTCTTTCAGCAAAGACGCGATCACCAATTGGTTGTGTTAAAATCGAGAGCCGTATCAATGATAATATATATGTATTATGTAAAACCAGCTTTTCTTGATTAAAGTCCCATTGCGTTATTTGCATTTTTTGCTAAAACATAAAATATTTCATGATTTAATTCACGCTAATATTTACTCAGATTGATGAGAAAACAAAATCAAAATATCAATGCTATAATCCCCCGGCTTGAATTCGATCGGACATCAAAATGGCGACGGACTTATATAGTATTCAACACATAGATCCATGAAATTCCATTCACAATTCAACATATCTTTGTAAACACGGAATGGAATTGAATCATTTTTGCACTGATATTATTAGAGATTCGTCTTTCACAATATAATTATAGTTTGCAAGGTATACTGCTGAAATGATGCAATGAGACTAGGATGTTGAATAGATTTATAATGCAATAGAACTTGTCAGTACAAACATCAGAGACAGATGATAGCGCATTTTATTTTTTCTATAATACAGTAACAGTCCCAAGACAGCATAACTTAATTTCTTTATCACATGTACGAGTTAATATAGGCTTAACTTGTCAATGTCAACTTACGTGTTGCGGTTTCACATTAGGCATGCGTAGATCAAGTTGTCCACCATTGGCCAGACAGCCACTGATTAATGCCACGATCAATAAAATCATAGCACCCATCTTTAATCACTATCTGTAATTCAATAATAAATTATATTTAAAATACAAGAACGGTAATATATGTTACCATACCACAACAAACATAAGGTTGGATATGAAATGGCCGGTGCACCTAAGTCAGGTGACGTTTAATACAAATGCATTATGAAAAAAAAACCAAGTCATAATTAATACAACGGTGACATAGTATGCATATACATGTATAATTAGAGGATTTGCATATCAAAGATGCATTATGTGAGATTTAAATAAAGAGCTGTCCGTTCTTGTAGTTCCAAAATAGATGATGAAAAATGAATATATCGAAAATTTCAGTCAAATTACTTTTTTCCCTGGGGGAAGTCTCGATTGTCAAGTACCATGGCTACGATAATAAACAAAGTCTCGGTTATCCATTTTTCAATTAAACCAATAAATGGCAATCGTGTTTTGATTCATCAAAATCACGGTAGTCAGATGATCTAGAGAATTGATTATCGACTTGTCGCGTGAATAAATGTCTAATTCATAATTCATATAACATTTGAAGTAAAAAAAAGACCGTGCAAAAAGTTAATGTTGATCTTTTAAAATGAAAAACTTATTAAGAGGATGAAATGAAATGGAATTGAACGTCCTAACGCCCTACTGTTTTGCTCCGACTAGGCTAATGAGCACGAACATACGCTAAAAAGTATGTTTATCAGTGAGTTTGTTCAATGAAGAGAAATCGCTCACCACCTAGACAGAGTTTGTATACAATGATACACATGAATGATCACTATAAATAATCATATAACATCTTATTTCTCCAATAATTCACAAATTTCAAATAGTTTCACTAAAATTACCTTATTGGTGAGTACTATATAGTCATAGAATTATCCATGCAAATATTCAAACACTAAAATAAACGTGAAACTGTAGAATTTCTTAAAAATGTCGTAGAGAAAGAACGAGCAGCCTTATGCGCTCAAGTTCACTCACGTCATACGTGCTTGATATTAGTATTCTACGCATCCTGGCTAAAAATTTAATTTTTAGAACACGGGAACAGTGCCCGCTAATCTAGCCTAGTTGGGGGCGTGGCATTTTGGGGCGTGTCTATTAGGGGTAACCCATCGCACAAACTGTCTGGCAGTGGTCATTCATGATTCCTGTGGTGGTACTGAACAACTCCAAAGCTGTTTTAGGTGGTACAGATTTCAGCTAATCTAGCCTAGCTGTGGACTGGAAATTAGATAACTCTTGTCACGGATACCCTACCACTACAAATGTCTGACAATTACATAGCTCTGTCAGGGGTAACCCACCACTAGAAATCGAAATGTCTGTTAGAGTGTAACACCTGAAGATGTACGGTACACTGCTGTACAATTTTCATGTGGTACACTTTTGTTTGAGCTAATCTAGCCTAGTTGGGGTGCATGGCATTTCGGGCGTGGAATACCACACCCACCACCGGAAACCTGGCAGATTTACATTCTGATGATACCAGATATATGTACATACATTGATAACATATAGGAAAAAATTGGTACACTTTTCAGCTAGGTTGGCCCCCTGGGCTCCCGGTCGAATCCTTACCCATTGTTCAAATGTCAATTAAATGAAATGAAATGGAGTTTCCGCCTAGTCTTAATCGACTTCCAAGAGGTTGTTTTCCGTGCAAGGCCTCGGTTTTTCTTCCTATCTGAACGGCTAGACGCTAGGCATTCAGTCATGCATCAATTACAAATGAAGGTATATTAGACAGTCTATTTTGGTATATTCTTTGAATGGCATTTAGTAATTGGAACATAATCAAAAACACTTGTAATTGTTATCCATAAAAGTGTGTTTTTGATTATGTTCGTAATTGTTATCCATAAAAATGTGTTTTTCATTATGTTCCAATTACTAAATGCCATTCAAAGAATATAGTAGACATTAATATGGAGATGTGGCTGTCAGCCAAACCATAGTAATTGTTATCCATAAAAGTGTGTTTTTGAGTATATTTTGGTAAATTACCAGAATTGACCAGATTTTTTCATACGGACTATAAAGATGTTTCCTCGACCGCAATGTGGTCCTCTACTCGACCTAAATAACATGACGGTTCAAGTGGCTTAGTTTTCTTTTTATCAAAGCACATGTTAAAAATGTAAATAACGTTTTTTTTTTAGATTATGTAAATATTTAAATAAAATATGCCAATTAAAATGGATTTTTCCCATTGTGAAATGAAATGTTAAAATAAAACGAAAAGTTCTTTACGATCTTACATTTTTGCTTCAACCTGGCTAATGAAGATGAAGACACGAAATGAAATGGGGTTTAACGTCTTACTTTTCTACTTCACCCTGGCTAATGAAGATGGGTCGACGAAATGAAATGGGGTTCAACCTGCTATTGTTCTTCCCCAAACGCCATGCAGTCTGCTCTGAGGGACATTTTGCTAGAACAACAGCGTTTCCGCCTACTCGTCATGGAATTCCAACTGCCAAGGATTATTTTTCAACACCGGAATTGAACCCGGGTGTTTCAAGTTTGGTTTGAGAGCAGCACCTTTTCACCGGGCCTCTGAGAAGTAGTCTGAAACTCAATTGTCGGAGGATCGTGTGTTGGGTCCATGTGGGGATTTACAAAGAAAGTGTGTCCAATCCTTCGGACGATACGAAACTCCGTGGTACACATTGACCTGCAGTTGGAATTATTTGAAATTCCCCCCCCCCCATTACACACGTAATCATTGAAAACAAAAATACCATAAAATCGTTAACAAAGCTGTGAATGACTGCAATAAACTGGTGTGGTACCGAAACAGTTTATGACACTACGAACAATAATAAACGTGTGATAAATAGATATGTCACATAATTCATATCAAACAAATCAGTTCAATTAAATGGAAACTAAGAGCTTAACACCCACTCGACACAAACTAGGTCATTTCGGGACTAACATTTGGTTCGATTTTATTTCAATAAATTGCTTGAGTATAGAAGACAGAAAACAGGTTCTTATCTTAATGTCATAGCCGGGAGCAAATCAATAGTATAAATCCAATGAAATAGATTTTATCTTTGACACAAATCGTGCTAATCTGCAAGTTTAGAACAAGTGAGAAATGGTTTTAAAGTCATTCTACTCCACCATCACACTTCCAAATGAGCCGTTTATTTTGTCGTTCATTCTATTTAAATACCTTTTGGTTCAGACCCATCAAATCGTAAAAATCTCTCAAAAATAATTAAGAAATTACTGTTTCATATTAACTAAATGTTAATGTTCACGGTCTTATCAAATTTTCATATGTCGAACTTTTATGGATTTACTTTGAATTGCAATATGAGGAAATTCTTTGGTCTCCTGGCGATGAGTGACTTGATGGTTTGGCTAATTTTGACACTGTTATTCAATTTCGGACGTATAATCACATGCACACTCGGTCATCTAGCCATAAGGGACTGGATAGGTTTCGGCCTGTAAACCATCAACCGTCAGTGGTTTCATATTCGTACCACCAACCCCCACAATGTTTACCCCTTGCTTAACGGGCTTACATGTATAACACATTTAGATTTTCACCATGACACATGTGGCGATATATATATTTAATTATATAGATATTATGTTACACGCTGAAATACAATTCACTGAGGTGTAATCGACATCCGGAAATGCTTCTATTTATTGAATTTCAATAAAACAGCTTAGAAAAATATACAATATGGTTGGCTTGCTCAAGATCTAGAAATGAAATAAACTGGAACTCAATATATCAAGCATGTATAAAGTCTGGTATCCTATAAGATTCTGACAAATTTATACTTCAATTAAATCAACATACTGTCATCCAAGAGTAATCAGAAGTCATTATTGATATGGATCTCCCTAATGAAATCAGTATTGCCTATTGTCTAATAGAATATTATAATAATTATTTACATACCTACAAAGAGAGATTTCTCTGGTCTCTATAATCTCTCTACCAACTACCAGAGTGGTACAAATCTCTACAGTCCTAGATAAGTAAAAATATGGCGGCGATATACGTGCCGTCCGACTCGTTATTATCTTTTTATTATTATTTTATCAGAAACGTCACAGAAAATCATGTAGTTTAATCCGCCATGACACGGAATATAGAAATCCGCTAATAGATATTTGACGTATGGAATCGTCATGGAAACCGCCAATGATAGCACGAGGAGTGATACTTTAAAATCGATATCTTCCGATCGTTGTAATAGACAGAAAGAAAGACGGAACATCCTATCGATCGGGGTCATCAGAGCGTTATGATTCAGTTGTCAAACAGTATTTCATTTGTTAGATTTTTGTTGTTTATATGATACTGTATTAACATTGACTTGTATAAATAACAACCAGCTGTCTCATCTTTCAGTTGATAAATCTCTGTTTTCTGTTATTTATATAGTTTATTCATTATTAATACACGTGAGATTGGTCGTATTGAATATAATATAGTTATTTTGTCTTTTATTATTACGCGTGGGCCTGTGAGATACAGAGCTCTATTGTTGATGTTGAATATGACACAGTGATTCTGTCTTTTATTGCGGGGGCGAGTGGGTGGGGGTGGGGTGGCCGATGTATCATAAGGTCTGTCATTGAGTCAACTGGTGTGGTTTCGATTCCCCGGTTGTAAGAGACAAGGAGTAGGGTGACCTGTCCAACCTCGTGGGTTTCCTCCGGGTCCCCCGGTTTCCTCCCACTGCTACAGACGCCTACGCGCAAACGAGTTATTGAAATAAAATTGAACCATATGTTATTCACAAAATGACCTAGTTTATGTCGAGTGGACGTTAAACTCTCTCTCTCTCTGTCTGTCTCTCTCTCTCTCTCTCTCTCTCTCTCTCTCTCTCTCTCTCTCTTTTATTATTACCCGTAGTTATAGTTATTGTATATTATAATCTTTGAGATACAGATCTTAAGTGTCTTAACTATAGTTCCATTCCAGATACAGATTTTAATTGACATAATTATATGCGAGATACTTAATTGTAAGTAATACATCATTTTAATGATGAAAATTATATGATTTTAATAATTACATGTATGTCTTATTTGTATTTTGGTTTATTTACTTGATTTGCATATTTAATTTCTGTATAATATTTTGTAGAGCGCGCAGTCCTATGACAACTTTTATACTGTTGTATGATTATGAAAATACAACAACCTAAAATTCACTATAATAGATTAATAGATTAAATAAGTTAACGAATCCTAATTAAAGTCGCATTGAACATAATTTTAGTACTATTCTTGGAATAAGGCAATCCAAATAAATCTTAATATATACACCCAAGACTTGCTGTTGCAAAGAAATAGCATCAATGTTGCATTGAAGTTCAATGGCCATGTGTTTCGGGAGGGGGGGGGGGGGGTGGAGGGGTGTATTAGTCTGAGACTTGCTGTGAGCGAGATATAAAAAAAGAGTTACCTCCCATTATAGTAAACGTTTTGCCGTAACAGTGGTGTCGTATATCCGCAAGGCAAGCAACATGCATCTAAAAACGTTATTTCTAAATGAAATATGGGTTTGGTTATGACTAAAAATTACGGAAAACATTCTAGTTGTAAATGCAGATTAATCAAAAAGAGGACACTTGGTGTAACTTCGTAGGAATCCCAGACGAATCGCAATAACAAAAAAATATCTTCTATAACGCATGACTTTTGTTTCAGCTGGCCATCAATTAATAACATAAATGAAATTCAGAAGCCAAAGCGCAAGTTCTTGGACCGAATCCCGTCCGTGTAGCAAAGTTCTTGGATCGAATCCCGTCACTGTAGCAAGTCTTGTCAATGCCATTGTTAATGTCTTTTATAAATAGATGACGTCAGATCACGCAACTCAGGTCTGTTTAATGAATAAGAAGGAGGCTTAGGATTATAGCTTAAAGCGTTTGTGTAGGTTGTGCTAGGTTTTGTTATTTGTCTATCTTTATATATTTAAATTTTTTTAAAAATGTTTTCATTTACCATAACAACCGTGAATTTCATAATCAAGATTGTTATAAGTTCTCAAAACTCAGCATAGTCTATATACACTACAGAAGTACACCTGGAAAAAGTGAGTCACCCTCTGACAAATTATGTGTCAATTAGTTTCAAGTTTTGACAGTAATGATTTTAACAATAATGGTATGCCATCCAAATGATTGATCATTCATGAGTTATTGCAATTCTCAAACATCAAGCACCTGGCACATCCAGCATCCCCCCCCCTCATTTTTTTTTCTCAAATAGACAATAGAGTCCTTAATGTCGCTTTTGCTAGACATTGAATCATTGTGACGATGGTGCGAAGGGGATTGCCAGAAGCGCATAGATGGCAGATAATTGGTATACATTTGGAAGAAATGTCCTTCAAGACTATTAGCCGTCAACTGGACTTCCTTCAAACAGTAATCAGCCATCTTGTTCCGTAAATTTGCATACAAGCGTAAATGTTGTGCATGCAAACAGGGCTTAAGACTAGCAATTCTCTCCTAATTGACTTCTAGACTAAATATAAACCATTTCGTAGCCCATAAATTCCGATGATCTTAATCTTTGATAAGGGTGATGACCATCTCACTTTTCTTCCACATATGGTCACAGTCAATGGTATATGTTTGGTGGTTTGGATAACGATGAAGAGGAGATGCAACGTCGCGGACCGTGCAAAATATTACTTAGGGCACATCGCATGCGTATGCCCGTCTTCATTAATCCAGATGGTGCAGAAAAGAAGGATGGTAAGCCACATTTCATTCGATTTTATTTTAACTATGTGTGGTCAAAGTTATCTATAGATTATGACGTCATCTCCGTAGTTGACTTTTCCCCAGTTCATGTCAGTTTACTTCCTGGTCCCTCCGCCTCAAACTCATCCACTGATCTTTGACTAGGGACAATAAGGTCAACAAAAATTGCTTTGCAACTGGCACAGAAACAGGAAAAGGAAGAATTGCTATAAATAAACGAACTGCTATCAAGGAATTAAGGTATAGCCATGGTCCTATATTTCTTTCATTACGCGACCCCCAGAAAAGTTTGTCACAATAACCCAAATATTACGCCTGACTAAACATGACACAACTATATATACTAACAGTGAAATGAATATTCGTCGAGATCTTGATATCTATGCTGTACAATAACTCATTAATGTCACGAAGTTTGGCGAGAGACCGTCCATCGTACATACGATAAGCCAACACACAGGTAATATATATGACATTTGATTTTTAATATTCAGGTTTACTTTATCAAATGGATTATTGAGATTTGACATAACGCTATAATATGCTTACGGTATAAAAGTATAAGTTGTACCCCTTGCTGATATACGGGGTCGAGCTTCATTGATAATTACTAGGGTTATTCAATCTGTTTAACCACCTAATGCACTCGACCAAGCTTGATGTTTATATGGGGACCGGTAGCTCATAACGATCTGTTAAACATTAACGAATCGTTATATATCTTGCTAACGTGTCAATTTCATTATCCGTTAGCTAGCGGAGTGATTAAAGTTAATCCAAGAGAAAACTGTTTGGTCATTGGCTGAAATTTTAAATTTTAAATTCAATGTACATGTATAACCACTTCATAGAAGTTGGTATTAACAAGAAACTATAGAAAGTGGGACAGCTGTACAGTCTGTTCACAAAATTATAACATTTGCACTACAGAAAGTGCAGAATATTTGGGGCCGTTATTTCTTACAGGCCCCCCAAAATTCTTTAGAATACTATATAATTTCATCTTATGGAAAGTGTGATAGACCCCGTCCCCCATATAAACGCTTTAGAATGTTCAATAGAGTTCAGGGGCGCCGGAACCCGGGTACCAGAGTGTACAAATGGTACCCTGCCCTTTTCTGGGGTATACATGTATACCCATGCCCTTTCAACCTTTTTACTAGTCCATTCATTTTTAAATGATAGATATGTAATTGCTCTCTGGTCGGTCGCGAACCGGCTCTCGCACTCTCATTATTAGCTATCAGTGCATGCCTTGGCCAGATTTGGAATGCTAGAAGCCCTCTAAAGAACGTTCTCGGAATTGACACATTTCAAAATTTTCTAGAGGATAATTCGGTACAGTTTAATAACCTACTTAAATGGCAATATGTATTTTTTTGTATTAAAAATACATTATGGGAGATTAGTTAAAGAGCTGGCAATTCGTACTATAATAGTTAAAAACTAGATAATGTAAAGGCAATTTGCTGAAAATTTCAGTCAAATCGATCATCATCACTAAAGTCGGTAGGATAAAAAACATAGTCTCGATTATCCGTTGTTTGATTTAATTATGAATGGAAGTCGAACAGCAAATCGGAACATAATCTAATAAACATCGCAGGCTAGCGATGCCATCGAGAGTTGATTATGGTCGGATAAGTTAATTAATGTCTAATTAATAATTAAGATAACATTTCTTGATTACAATAAATCATTATATCCAAACAAAGCTGTATAGCAAAATAACATGCATTACGAATATGTATTTGTTTAATAAGTTTCTTGGATCCACGGTGACCACCTCCCGCGCGCTTGCTATCTTACTAGCGGGTTCGATTCAGGTGTTGGCCTAAAAATTCCAACAAGGTCCCTTGTACACGTTGAGGCACAAGTAAAAGAACGCTTGGCATTTGGAAGTCTACGAAGAGTTGGCAGAAATGCTACTATCCGCAAAAAATGACCCTCATATGACACTACATGGCGTATGCCGGTCTTCCATAGCCAAATTTGTGCAGAAGAGTAGGAATTTAAAACCCTGTTTTTATTTCACATATTTGTAGCTTCTTGGATTAAAAATTCAGGTACACTCTATGCTCATTTATAGGATCGAGGATTTGAATTACAACATAATATATTTTTATAAAAAAAAAAATAACCATGATGATATGTCATGGGTAGATAATAATATACAATATACAAGATGTGTTATGAGTATAAACTTTATACATACTGTAACCAACAGTGTATAGTATTTCTATTTGAATAAGAAACCGTGTTAAGATGATCTACAAAGCGAAAGTTGTTTGCTAAAACTATATTAAGTTGGACAGTCGATTCAAGGGGGTAATAAAGTAAAGCCACTGTGTAAGGGCACTGGCTTAGAACAGTAAGTTTTTGCTCGTTCAACCATTTTTAGAAACGATTATCTTTCTTGCTGCATAAGCTTTTAGAAATTTGCATGTATATATTATTTTGCATATTCGTTTACTATTTTGGAATGTTTAGCATAAAATCGCCTTATGTTTAACAAACTATTTTTAAACGTAACGTTTCTGTATTTAACGTGGGGTGGTTTCCTTTAGCGTTTAGGGTTCACGATGTGCATTTTCTAATAAGCATTTAGCGATCGAGAACAATAAAAAAAAAAAATATGTGGGAAAAAGCCACTGGTTTGTACACATGTCGAAACGTTGGTGCAGAACAGGGATTGATTTTCCATATGAATTATGTTGTGTTTTTTTTATGTGCATTTTCTTTTTCTTCTAATATTGCAGTACAATAACCGTTGAGTTAATCCTGTATTGATATAATGATTAAAGACGCATAACTGATCGTGTGTGTTGGTTTGATTGTTGACAATGGAAGTTTAGCTATATATCATCTTTCTACTTCTACAGATAATACTGGTACAGGATGGACGTGGCAAACAATACTGCTGGAAGTGCCTTCCAGAATGCTGGAGTTGGTACAGTAGACTTGGTGGTTATTGTTCTCTATCTAATCTGTTGCTTGATCTGTGGTCTTTGGGTAAGTTAACTAAGGTGTACGTCTATATCTATAATTTACAGTTTTAGCCAATACCTATTCATTATAAACCTATAACGGTAAATCTCTTTGGGGTAAATTCTATGCCCAAAATAACTTGCGATCTGAAAGTCGGGGGACGGCTTTGAATATATACAGGGGAATTTGGGACTATTCTTCTGAAAGTTTTTTCTTAAAACCTGTAACGGATTATTCTTCCACTGTAGGTATTTTAATTTCCCATAAGAAAACATGAAATAGGGTTTTTCTTAGGATAAAAGTTGAGATTTTAATAATCCGTTGACTTAATGTGCTCGTCCAAAAAGCACTATCGTGTATGAAATTAAAGATCCAACTTCCAATAAGAATTGAAATGAAATCGGATTTAACGACTAGGCTAATGAAGACGGACTTCCGATAAGAACTGCCACTAAATTATTAACTAATCAACTCGGGGAAATAAACAACACAAATTATATGCTTTATTTGATATTTATATTAACGTCCTACTGTTTTGTTCCGACTGGGCTAATGAAGACGGGCTTCCGATAAGAACTGTCAACAAATTGTTAACTAATCAACTTGGGGGAAATAAACAACACAAATTATATGCTTTATTTGATATTTATATTAAGGGTAATTGTATTCCTTCCTGGCATTTTGGATTTCCAGGGGTTGGTCCAGTCTCATTTGAAGTCGGTCGTAGAGTGTAGCGTTATGCGGTGAGTCGTCGAATATGCTTCTCTGTGGTTGGTCGTCGAGTGTGAACTTCTGTTGTTCGTCGTCCTCTGGTCGGTCTCCTATTTTGGCTAGTTTCGTTACTTCCCCATTCAAAAACTTGGATATATCTGATTTCTGTCTGTCGGAGGTTCGTTTGTAAATACGAATGGCTTCACTTGTATGACCTTTAAAGAAATCGAAATAAAAAGATTTATAATATACGAGTATCTGAATATTCTAGTACACATACTTTCAAAAGAAGAATAAGGCTATAAACTATATTCCAAAATTGAAAGGGAGCGTGGCGCTGTGAAGAGTACGATTTAGATGCTACAATCTTCTGAATTCGAGCCCGAGTCCTCCAGCATGATAGACAACTACCTAATTGATCAAGTCACTACATCCCCTGAGTAGACCCGACTGAATTATCTTTTATATAATATGATACAGGTTGGGCTCACATAAATTAATATTTGAATTAAATGTTAATATTTTATATATAAATTAAAAATAGTTTACTCGTTTTTTCGCATACCTGCTGCATATCTACTCCTAGTTGATAAAATGGAAAATGTGGCTCGTAGGGGATGGTTTCTTTCATTTTCCTTTATAAGAAAACACAAAAAAACGTTCATTTTGAATAAGTTAATCTCAAATACGAAGCAATATACGTCAAATGTTCGCGAAAGTCAAATTATCGTACATTTCGAGTATTAAACCTTTACTTTTTAGAAGATAATCCTACCAGTAAGATATAAGATCTTGTCAAGCAAAACAGCTGGGTATCTCTCTCCAAAACACCACGTTTCCATAGATTTTCTTCTTCTTCTAGTGTTATTGTTCCTGCATGTTGTCTATTTGAAATTCCAATCCCCATTATTGCTTCTCTTCCATACATGTATCCAAAGCCTTTCTGGTTACTTCGAATTCATGATCTTCAAATATTTTTCTGTCGGCCTCGGTTTTTCGTTTTCCCGGGTTATTTTCTTCGGTCTTTCTTTCACCAGCATAACCCCAATCTCGTTCTCTATCCTACACATAATATATGCAGTTGGGGTACTTGTTTTAAAATATGGGAACGGGTTCAGGCGGCTATTTCAAGAAGTGTTTGTCACCGAAGCTGCAGTTTCTAAATAAATTAACTTTATCAAAACAGTTTATTACTGATACCATTAGCACGGTGTTTCAACTGGCTTGCAGAGAAGGACAAAACATTCATTTGCTGTCGCTGAATCCTTTAAAAAGGTATTGAGAACTTATTTGGTGGCAGATTTACACATTTTCAGAGCCCGTGCATACTCTATTAGGTCAGTATGGTCACTCAATTGGGATATTAAAAGGGTATTTACCGATTTACGGGTCTTCGCCGGTTGGTTATACAGTTATTTAAGACAATTCAGATTAGGTTGTACGCAAAATCTGGAACAAATCAGTCAAGTCATCGTTAAACTATACACTTTCAGCTATCATTAAATCATTGTAACTATTACCCTAACCCTAGGTAGATTAATCATACTATATTTTGGCGAAGGCGATAACGTGAAATTTGCAATCTAAACATCCTTTGTTTGTTATTTGTGGATTTTATTTTGTACTTGCTTATCTTTTACAATACGATCGACCATTCATATCTAAACATAAATCTATATTTTGGGAGTATTTAATATTTCTTGAAAGTTTTGTGATAAGAATTTCAAATGTAAAGATAAATCTATAAAAAAGAAGCAGATATCCTACTACCCAAGATTTGTATTTCAAACCCATATCTTACCGCTTTAATTTGTCATTAACTAACATACAATTATGGCAGGGTAACAATGTACCCATATCTACCCATGTAGATACAGATTACGTGTTGTTTTAGTCAGGTATAACATTCATAGTCAAAAAGATAATAACAAATCACGGATCTGAAAATAGCGATATTCAACGTGTACTTGTCAACCACGATAATTATTTCATTAATATATGTTCATTCATTTCAGTAAATTAATATGAATATGGAATATAAAACTAAATAAACTGAAAAATAAATTGAAATCGGGAACTGGAGGGGATACGTTGGCATTCCGATATAGAGAATTTCGATCTGGCAGCACTGTTTCGTATTATCCGATTGGCTAAACAAAACGTTATCTTAAATGTTAAAAGTGAACGCTAGGCTTAAAAATCACATTTCCTCACCCTAACATGGGCCCAAGGCGCACTAATACCTACATCGGCATGTTAACATTAGTAATAAAACTAGTAAATATAATTATAGTATATATTCACGAAGGCGTCTTTAATTATAAAACGGTAATGTGGCTAATCTCCCGAGAGGATGACAGAGCACGTTCTTGTCATTATGTTAATTACTAATTATGAATTAAACATGTTGTAAGGGGTCAGTGATACCAGTAATGGTATTCTATAGAATTGTGACTTTAGAGTATATTAAGGGTTTTAGCTATTTTAATTTTCTTTGCAGATACTTGATTAGATGTTTGAAATGTTTTAATGAATTGGTTGCTTGGGTTTTAATTATATGACATGAGTACCATATTATCCACATGCACAAATTCCTGGCTTGATCAGTCCTTGACCTTTAAATTAAATGACTTGAAAATCAATTGATTTGAATCAATAAAATAAGTTTACAAGAACACCATTCTCGATCAAATTCATCGAATTTTATACTAACGTGTCCACGAGACCATGGTTTTCGTCCTATTCGAACGGCTAGACGCTGTATCACTGACTAGGTGAAGCCGGTGGAAAAATCCCGAAGAACATTACCTACCAATGCCAGAGTCGAAGCCAGAAGCTCCCACATTTTCTAAAACTCCTAATACTGATTATTAAAGTTCACATAACAAGGAAGTTTTGATTATTTCGTAAATTAAAATTTGTAAGGAATATCCAACATTTTTCACGTAGTCACCATGGACCCTCGACATATTTAATTTATATGTAGGACACCCTTTTCAGCACAAAAATCAAATTTAAATTGAAATGGCTAGGTGTATTAAAGAAACTCGACCTTTGATACACGTATTCAACAACTTTATAGAGTTTCTTTTGGAGAGTGTATTTTTAATTTTCATACCACTTTAATCCATAGTACACCAGAGTACATTGATATTGAAATTCAAGAAAGATCTCGTATTTGAACCGGGCGCGGATCCAGTATTTTAAAACTGAGTGGGTTGTTTGTACTTTTAAGACACGTTGCCAGATGCGTGTAACAACACATCATGATGTTACTGAAAAGTTATAAGAAGATTTAAGTCTGAAGGCTACCATGATAAGTTTTGTACGATTAGTTGCATCTACCTTTTTTTACATGTTCGATTACGAGCAATTGTTTGATATTAAATTAATATTGTCATCGCAGCTATCAATATGTTAAACCAAAGAATGAATATTTAGAGCACTATTCCAAAGGTCAACAATATTGGAAATTTGTGACGTTTTTTAACAATAAAATGTAAAGATTAAACATATTGAATTGTATTGTCTATTCAGTATTGATAGCAGCGACACGCCCCTATTATTGCCAGATCATATATGAAATGAAATGAAATGAGGTTTAACGTCCTTCTGGGCTAATACAGTGGGTTATGAGAAAACTTTTGAACGGACAGTGGCGCAACAGCCTACTCTTATATCGAATTCCAACCGCCAAGGGTTATTTAACATGCAAGCCAATGTGTACACGGGACCTCCATTTTTTGTCCCATCCGAAGGACTATACGTTGTCCCTTGATAGGTCCTACATCACTGACAAGAGGAGACCACGACGGAAATTCCGATGAACTTCCTCAGTCAACACAGGGATCGAAGACGGGATCTCCAGGTTAGCGAGCCAACGTCTTACTCACTGAGCCACCGTGACTCCGTAATCGGATTAATATAACAACGTATCAGTCACATTGTATTATTATTTAATAACACATTCCAATCCATAATAAGATATATTTTGATACCCGGTTACGGTTCTAACATACGAATTAATATGGAAATACAACAGATTCCGTTGGGATTTGGTTGAGGCATGGAAAGAATCTGGCCGACTATTGTCTCAGCAGTGATTAGGTAATAAAATGACGTTTTTGTGTAATCTTTATGCTATGCAATTACAGATTCTTAAACAGTTCCCTCACCGACCTACTATATCTTATGTAGAACTATAGTTCCGTTTGTGTTCACTAAAACTCAATATTCATATTTTTTGTTGATCTATTAAACTTACAAAATGAGTAACGAAATGGTGTCCATGGACTAGGTTGGCAAGGTTCTCTTTATACATGGCCCTGGATTAAGGGGCTCTCTACCCTCTAACCACCTTTGAAGCAAATCCCACCCTTTGATTTACATGTGTAACAATATTTTTGACCTACTTCTAAAACGACCAAATACCTGTTTTATGCAAAACATAATGTTATACCTTTTGTCAATAAAATGCGGGTATACAATCCCTCGACAATACAGACCTGTGTCAACATTTAGAAATAAGCCAAATAAATCTAAGTCGTGTCAAACTAAATATTTGATGTAGAACAACTTAATACATCTTTATTTCAAGGTCTCTGGCAGTGCAGATATCACATAATCTTAAAAATCTGTTTAAACAAATTATGAATACATGACACAGCAAAAATAGAATATTTTACAAAAAAAGTAAGCCAACTTAAAGTGTAAAGTTTTGAAAGGCAAAATGAAATGATTGAAACATTAATGCACTGCTAAGGGGTCAGATCTAAATGTTAAGGCCACCTGCAGATTTCGTCAAGGTCACAAGATGTAAACAATGTTAGCGCTAACCCTAACTCTAGACAAAGACCTAGCCCTAACGCTTACCCTAACCCTAACCTATAATACTCGGCAACAACCACGTGCCATAACCCTGTTTACATCTCGTGACTTTGACTAAATCTACAGGTGGCCTTAATATTTAGATCTGACCCTCGGTCATTTGTTTTTAGAACTAATACAAAACTGGTTTTCACAACGGAAAATAATAACAGGTTTCTTATTAACAGACAGGACCATTTGTTTGTTTTACACACTGATATATCTCATTTACGTATGGGGACTAATTGGTATCGTCTCGTGATGTCGTGGTGTCGCCCTTCATAAGGCGACAACCCGACATCATGACATTTTAACCCGTCAATACTACATTTTCACCCGACACCATAACCTCAAAAATGTCGTAATGTCGGGTTAAAATGTCGTGATGTCGGGTTGTAGGGTTATCGGAAATATTCCTCTCAAAACTATGATTATGTACACTGATCTTGGTGTTGATTACGAAAGTTTCCCGGGATTTTGCAGCGTGGTTTCCCCATGTCGCAGGACAAAGCGTCTCGGAAAGAAGAGTGCCTAGTTGTGCAGATGGGACAAAAAAACAAGCTCCTGTGTACACATTCGCATAGCGTATGCCTATCTTCAATATCCCGATTGGCGCAGAAAAGTAGGAAAATTGAATGAAATGAAACTGGGTTTAACGTCCTACTGTTCTGCTCTGACTGGGATAATGAAGACGGGCATACGCTAAACAGTACGCTATGAGGGAAAAATTGCCCGGACAGCGGCGCTACGGCCTACTCTTATATCGAATTCCAACTGTAAAGGGGTCTTTGCACGTAAAAGACCCTCCTGACAGTTGTAATTCAATATAAGAGCAGGCCGTAGCTTTGTCGTATTATTATTAAAAAGATCAATTCATCTCTCTATAGGGATACAATAGTGATTGGGACATATGACTATAGAAAGAATACAATAAATAGTTTCTTACTGTTCATATTTTTATCAATGAATATTAAAATGTTATCTCCATTAACAACATTTCAAGTGTTCTATAAGTGATAAAAGCGTCTAGTTTACACATTATCGCTCTGTAAACCCAACATATCGTATACAAAACTGATTTAGTTCAGTGTTTCAAATTAATATATAATCTAACAGTAAATTTATATTCATTTTAGGCAACATGGAGAACACAGCGTGGATCTGTGGCCGGATATTTTCTGGCGGGAAGAGATATGCTGTGGTTTGCTGTAAGTTTTTTTTAAAAAAAATGTTTAATATAATCCGAGATCTGGGGCCTGTTTCACGAAATTTTAACTAAGATAAAATCCCGATTTTAGTAATTTGATCGGATAATATTAGATTGATTTTAGTGCTTAGCCAATCAAAATTGAAGTACATGTATCTATACAAAAATTTGGATTTTATCTTTAGTAAGATTTCGAGAAACTGGGTCCTAATGCAACTTTGATTAATATAGATTTAACGTAAACTGCCTTCAGTGCTAAGGAGCATTCTGAATCGCGTATTAAAAGGGTGTAGACAAACACATAAGGGTCTTATTACCCAGAAATATTAAATGTTTGACGGACAGTGCGCGTCCGACAGGATGAAGACATCCGAACATAGATGAAGCTATTGATCGGATTGATTGAAATATAATATGATGGATCATAGCATGGTGTCCTGAAAGACCGAAGGTTTGTCAACTGATATAATATATTATTTTTTCTGTTTGCTTTCCATGATTTCTTTAGATGACGCTTTTGTTACTGGTGTTTATTAATTCTCTTCGTTTTTTCTTTCAGATTGGAGCTTCACTTTTTTCAAGTAATATAGGTAGCGGAAGTTTTATTGGTTTGGCCGGTACAGGAGCAGCCAATGGTCTTGCAGTAGCTAGTTATGAACTAAACGTAAGATTTAGATTATTTATCACTTTATTTATAAATTTGTTTACCTTATTAATATGACACAAAATCGCTATAAAACATAGAATATTACAAGTTATGAATATTCTATTTCAGGGTTTGTTCTGTTTGTTATTGTTGGCTTGGTTATTCGTTCCAGTTTATATATCAAGCGGTGTAAGTACAAGTACTATTATTAAATAATCTATAACTACGAAAAAATAATTAAAGCCCAATATGACCAAAACGTATTCAAATCGATCCATTCTAAACTATGTTGTTTTCTATTGAATCCACAATACCATCTTTCAGATAATAATGATAATAATCGTTTTAGTATAAGTCATATTGATCTTCGTTGTTTTGTTTTATATATACGTGTTTATCCTAGGATATGCTTAGTAATAACATAATACATTAAAATGTAACATACAGTTATATATGATCGATGTGGCTTTTTACATAAAATTAAGCAGTTTTATTCTCCAAAATATAACTGGGACTAACCCTTTAAATTTCCATTATATGGATTATAGTTTATTTATTATAACAGACTTGACATTTTAATGTATCAGACTGTTTGCATTATAATTCATTTAGTATCAGACTGTTTGCATTATAATTCATTTAGTATCAGACTCTTTTGCATTATAAGTCATTTAGTATGAGATTATTTGAATTACTGATTTTTATCTTTATAGGTGTATACTTTACCAGAATATTTACTGAAACGATTTGGTGGTCAGAGATTACAGGTGTATATGGCAGCCTTATCGCTGATTATATACGTTTTCACTAAAATATCAGTAAGTTTAATACACTTTTTGTCTAATTAAACCATATTATGATAATTGCGGTCTGTTCAGTAGTGGGGGTTAGGATGGCCGAATGGTTATCACGTGCCCGCTGTATCATAAGGTCTGTCATTGAGTCAACTGGCGTGGTTTCGATTTCCCGGTTGTGCGTGACAAGAGGTAGGGTCGCCTGTCCAACCTCGTGGGTTTTCTCCTGGTCCTCCGGTTTCCTTTCACTGCTAAAGATCCCTACGCGCAAGCGAATTATTGAAATAAAATTGAACCATATCTTAGTCCCGAAATGACTTAGTTTGTGTTGAGTGGACGTTAAACCCCATCTATCTTTCTCTCTCCGTCTGTTCAGAAGCGTAGGAAGAGCGACACGAGGGGTTGTAGGAAGCGCTGATGGTTTAAAAAAGGTCTTTTGCTGTGTTGGGACTAGACGTCTAACACAATGTTATTTCCCCCGAAAACATTGCATACAATAGACACTCTCAATTGATAAATTGAATTAAATGGAGTTTAACTTCAGTCAATACATCGGTCAGTTTAAGACAAACGACGTGTTTTGTGAAGTTTACATTGGCCTTTTGGTACCATCCGAACTTATATTCATAAATAGCCATTTGACAGTATATCAGCAACAGAAACTAATAAAAAATGTATTTAAATTTATTACTGTTTTTATATCTGACACCGCATATTATTCTCAAATAATAATTTAACGGAATACTATTCTATTTTTTAGGCTGATATGTACGCGGGTGCTATTTTTATTAATCAAGCTGTACAATGGAATATATATGTTGGTGTATTAGTTTTATTAGCTATAACAGCTATATATACTGTCTCTGGTAAGTTACAATTACAACCAATAACGTTTTGCTTTTATTGAGTTGTTATTTTATAGGAACCGTACTTTCCTAAGGAGTCATATTCCTCGCAGTGTATTAATTTGATTGAGGTATATGATCCCTTTCGGTCCTTTTTTCATTCCCTTTTGCCTGCTCAATTATAAAAGTTCTACCATTGGCTGTGTTCAGCAAGACTGTAAAAAAGTGGTATATCCAAACTCTTGAAACGTCGAAATGTGAGATTTTTAAAACAAAGACCTCTGAAATTTATTGAATTAATCATAAAGAAGGAGCCCATAGGTACGCATGTACCAGGCGCGGATGACAAAGCTGCTAATACCCATTAATCTCGTAAATAACAAAGTTTGCTCAAACGGACCTTGAAAGTCATTCTAGAACATCAAATATTATTTCTCAGGCTTTCACATAACTTTAATGCATGTTAAATATTTACTGTATCATTTATGTTAGGTGGGTTAAAGGCTGTTATCTACACTGATACTCTACAAACAGTTATAATGGTTGGCGGTGCCTTGGTTCTCATGGTTTTAAGTAAGTTGTATTACCAGTATCAAACAAGATTTTAAAATAAAGCTGTATCTGTTTTCAAATAAATCAAACTTATTAACATGCCCTCTGCTTCTGGAAGTGAACTCGTCGCTAAGGGTGATCAAGAAAGTGCACGTGTACCCCTCATTTGCGTAAGGTATGACAAAGTGTTCCATAACTTGTATCATATTAAGGCTATATTTTATACATATAAAATATTTATGTAGATGCACTAAACACCACGTATTATTAATAGTATATGATATCAGTTATTCACCTCTACAAAAATCTTCATAAGCACGTTTTCGCGGTGTTTTAATGACAGACGTTATTGACAATGTAGATATATATGACCTATGTGTACATGTGTATCAATCAGCTAAATTCATATGATACACAGTTCCTTATAAGATGTTAGTGTCCATTCATTCACCTGTTTGAATGTATATAATACCCTGTGTTTTCTTGTAGTAAAAGAGACTTGGTAAGCGGGCAGCTCAGATAGGCGGAGAGGAGAGACGTCGAGCGTGTGGGCTCACCCGAGTTTAGCCGCTGTTTTGGCAGAGGGGTGGATTGGTTGACTTAATATCGTGATACACGGTGTTTATGTTATTGAGCACTTTGTAAAAAAAAATATTACTATGAGAAATGTAATATCGCGAGTGATATCTAACAGCTAATCATTGTCGGTTTTCTTAGTTTCCATAAATATCTGGTTGGTCTGGACAAATAAGACGTTAAACCCTATTTCAGTTCATGTACTGACAAACAACATCAACTCTCACGCATTCATTAAGACACGTAATTGTCTCCAAATTACAAAGACGAAGTGTCGAACAAATGTTATTAAAGTTAATTCTGTTTCGTTTATTAACATAATCGGTTTGTGATATTATTTTCTTAGGTTTTGCTAAGGTGGGTGGAATAGAAAATATCTATGAAAAATATCAATATGCTGTACCTTCAACTCATACCAACAGCACGTGCGGTAAACCAACAGATGAAGCCTTCCATTTGTTACGTAGTGTTGATGCGGGTGATCTCCCTTGGCCTGGAAATGTCTTTGGTATTACAATTCTTAGTACCTGGTACTTCTGTTCTGATCAGGTAAACTCTACAGATAATGATTCGAAACTAGAAATACACCTCATGGAAATTCTAGAATTAAAAAACTAGATAGAAGATACTTGGTGACTATCATGTATCAATTAATTGAAAAGAGAGTATAGCCTCCATCTTGATTGTTGTCCACACGGAATAACCATAACCATGTAAACACCTATGTCATTGACTTCTGATCCAGGAAACGGGTGATAAATACATGTCATGTTTAAGATTAATATTACAGCCAAATTGTCAAGAAGACATGATAATACACACCACTCTCATCCAAAAATGTTATGTTATTTTATTTTTAAGATTAGAATGCGATTTTCTGAACAAATGGAAATAAATTGTGATTCTCTGGAAGAAATGACACAAATTTCACCCTATCTGTTTATATAACACACACTACTCCCATCCAAAACTATTGTATTTTGAAATTATATTACGATTCCCTTTAACAACAGAAATAAATCCGACGGTTAAAAGTATATGGTTTGTACCATATTAACCAGTTATCTAAATTTTAGGTTTTGGTACAAAGATCGCTAGCAGCTAAGAATATGCATCATGTGAAAGGTGGATCTATCATGGCTGCCTACCTTAAAGTTTTACCCTTATTTACAACAGTTTTTCCTGGAATGATTAGTCGCATCTTGTTTCCAGGTAAAATATGTCAAATGATATGATTAGCTTTATAATGATTATAACTCATATTGTCAAATAGTAGGACTAATTTTATAATTTTTGTCCTTTTACATTTAAGGAAAGAATCGCGCCATAACGTCATATAGTATCCTATAAAATTGCTGAATACATCATCAGTTTCGTCATTGGTCTACTGATGACATCTGGGTTATAATTTCTTAAGATCGGAAGTCCATGCAGCAATGGCTCACCAGGTTCCGTTCTCGATGCTAGCGTTGATTTCCCCATGGTATTGATGCAGGGCGGAGGGACTGGATTATACTAAAACATCAGGTGTCGTGATAGTTGGAAATCCAAATAAGAGCAGGCCGTATACTGCCACTGTCGAGGTAAAAGTCTCTGATAGCAAAGTGCGTGACATAATTATGACGTTTAAACAAATAATCCAAAGCGGTTATCGTCTACCTAGTAGCCGTCAGCGTCTGTAATCCAAGTTCACATAGCTAATAACAATGCTTTGTATATTTCAGATCAAATAGCTTGTGTAGATCCTGATATATGTGAAAGTGTTTGTGGTAATAGAGCCGGATGTACCAACATAGCTTACCCTAAACTCGTTATAGAACTCATGCCAATAGGTGAGTAAACTCCATATACAACCCATGCCAATAGGCGAGCACTCGTTATAGAGCTCATACCAATATGCGGGTACATTTCTTATACAACTCATTCCGATAGGCGAGTAAGCTTGTTACAGAACTCATTCCAGTATGCGAGTAAACTCGTTATAGAACTCTTGCCAATAGGTAGGTAAACTCGTTATAGAACTCGTGCCAGTAGGCGAGTAAACTCGTTATAGAACTCGTTTCAGTAGGCGAGTAAACGTGTTATAGAGCGAGCTCATACCAATAGGCTAATAAGCTTTTTTTTTATATAGAACTCATGCAAATAAGCCAGTGAACTCGTTATAGAATTCATGCCAATAGGGGGAGTGAACTCGTTATAGAACTCGGGCCTATATGTGAGTAAACGCCTTGGGGATCTCGTGTCCAAAGGTGGACATACTCATGGAACAAATGCCAAGAAGTAAGCAATCTTGGTTGAAATTCGTGTATACAGGTGATATTGTCTCATATTACCAGTTAAGTTGTTGGTGCACTGTGTATATATATATATATATATATAATTTACCTGTAGTCGAATTAATTTGTTTGTTTTCGTATTTTGACGTCTGGTTCGGATAGATTCTGTTGAACATTAAGCAAATCTACCTCCAAATTATAAAGACAATGTTTTCTCATATAAACGGTACTTGACAAGGCGAAGCCATACGCAGTGAAGTATGGTTAATGGTTCTATTGTATTAATATTATATACATATTATTTAGGGAGATGGGTTTTACATAGGCTAAGCCTGTTCCCCAATCCCATTCAGATATCCCGAATAAGAATATTGTTTATAAAAATGGATTTATTTAAATAGGTGACACGCAGATAATCGGAATGTTTATATTAAAATGTTATTTCTTTGTCAGGTTTAAAAGGTTTGATGTTGGCGTCCATGATGGCGGCTCTCATGTCATCTTTAACTTCTGTATTTAACAGTTCTAGTACTATATTTACTATTGATATCTGGAAACGATTCAGACCCAAATGTTCTGATGCTGAAATGTTGGTTGTTGGCAGGTGAATATCGCAGCTTTTATCATTTGCAATAAACGGGCATTAGGCCTGGTTCGGTGAAATGTTTTTCTAATTAATTTTTTAAATTCATTTGCGATAAAAGCCTTTTAAGAAATTTAACTTCAAAATGCGCATGCGTGAGATCTAAAGTGACATTTCAACTGCATGTATTTAGAACACATTTCTGTTATTTATTTGTCAAACAAAAGACCATGGATGTCGGGGCTTTGTAACGGTACCAATACTGTCAAATTGATACGAAGGCACCCAGAAATAAATCAGATTGTCAATAGGCCTATGCCCCTTTAATGATCCTGTTTGGGTTATATACTAAAAGATGATTAACTAAATTCAATGATAACACGCCCTTGTTTGTTCTTATGGTCAACATAGTATGACTTTATTCTATTTCATTTGCAGAGTTTTTGTTTTGGTCCTAGTTGTAATTAGTATTGTCTGGATTCCTGTCCTTCAGGCTTCTCAAGGGGGGCAACTCTTCAATTACATTCAAGCGGTTACTGGCTATTTCGCGCCACCAGTTTTATCTTTATATTTGTTAGCTATATTGTGGCCGAGAACAAATGAAAAGGTAGGTTTGTAAATTCCCTTAGAAATGGTGGGAGAACGTTTACATCAATTTCTTTATTTGTTTCATGACAAACTGTGACTAAATAACTTGACAAAAAAACAAGAGCTCTTGATGGATTAAAAAATAAATGAAATGAAATGAAATGGGGTTTAACGTCCTACTGATCTGCTCCGACTGGGCTAATGAAGACGGGCATACGTCATATAGTGTGCTTATTAGGGAAATTTTGCTGGGCACTATCACCTTCTCTTATATCGAATTCCAACTGCCAAAGGATCTAGCGATCCAGTGTCTTACCCACTTAGCCACGTGGTTCCCGGTCGGATTAAAAAATAAATGTCTTAGGTATAATTTTAAATTTCAGGGAGCTTTCTGGGGTTTAATGGTTGGTTTGGTTATTGGTGTAGTCAGGATGGCTTTAGATTTTGGTTATGGAACTCCGGCATGTGGTGAAGAAGACAACAGACCAATTATTATATCAAAGATTCACTTTCTACATTTTACCATTTTATTATTTGTTATATGTATCCTTGCTACAGTGATTGTCTCCTTATTTACAGAAGCTCAAGATCCCCAAAACGTAAGTTAATTATATAGACAGTGTCTAGTGGTTCAAGAAAAACGAAGCATTTCTTTTTAAGGTTAAGCAGGAGACATCCTAGCCGAATCATTCGGCCAAATCAATCACCGTCGAATTACGTCCGAATTGATTTGGCGAATTGTTCGCCCGATTTGCCAATCGATTGCATCATCTTTCATGTGATAAGTTACATGATTAAGCATGGCAGCGACTAAGAAAAGGAAAGAAAAAAAATAGCTGCAGCGGTGGGAATTTTAAAAATTTTACGCCATATTCGTCTCCTCCCCAAAAATAATACGCTCCTATTCTTTTTCGGAATTCTAAGTTTCAGTGATAGTTGCTATTTTGTCTTCAAAAAATCTCGACTTTCTCGACATCGGTGTTGATTGGCTAATGAATCGGGTGATTGATTCGGTGAAAGGGACACCCTAGGTGAATATAAACACGGCGGAATAGAAATTCGGTCGAATATATCAAACATGTTTGATTCGGGCGAATAGAAATATGGCCGAATGACACAGGACACACTAGGCGACTTTCGGCGCCGATTGATTCGGCTAGTGTGTCCACCAAGTTGACACTTACCTATATTGTTACGCATATGGAGCTTTTTTGTGATTCGGCTCTATTAGTTTGACATCTTTCATACACACAACGGCTAAATAAACATATTTTATTTCATTCAATATGACAATAGAAGAGAAATAAATACTTTTAAAAATTTCTAAAAGCATACTCAGTGTTTTCGACTAAAATCGTCGATGTAGGAATTAAAATGTCGGTTAATTAGCTTAGGGCTTATTCTCAGCCGGAGCTAGCTTTAGATAGGCAGCCTATGTTTGGGATGACCGACCCTGGTCATGAAATTCTAAGTCTTGTTTGTCGAAAAGAAATGCTAGTATTAGTCCTGTTAGTCCATCGTATATGGAAAATATTTACGTGTATATGCGTATGTTATCGTACGAAATAAGCCATTAATTGTACACTATAGTTATTTAAAAAATAATTTATTTTCAGATAATTCGATGTACATGGTGGACACGCCATAGTGCAGAAGAACGAGTTATGTTCCCTGAAGAACAGAGACGTCATGATCTACACGAGATCGCTAATAACGAACTAGCTAATGTTCCTGTTGTCGGTAAGACTTTGGACTTCAATTAAACTAGATGTATTTAGAACTAAATATACTTTGAGAACTTTGACAAGTATTTATTCTGCTCCCATTTAATAAAATTGAAAGTCTTATTCAATCTCCGTGTGTATGACAGATGTTAAACGGATTAGAACCACATTACACAATAGTATACTATTCAAAAAAAGTAGGGGATATTTGATTTTTAAGTGTTATTAAAGTCACCTAATGAAACTGACGAAGAAACAAATGACAAAATGAAATGATGTTCACATTCATCGATTTATTCCAAATGATCGTTAGACTAAGTAAGGCACAGACTGACCATTATAAGGGTAAAATGATACCCGGGGTCAAACAGCAAAGTTACCACAGCATCACAACCAAGTCAGTAACGGGTAAATCCTCCTCTGTTTGCCAAACAAGCATTGATCCGACGTGGCATACCCCTAATGAGACGTCTAAGGTCATTTTGGTCCAGATTGTCCCATTCCTGTTGCAACGCAGCAGCAAGTTCTTGGACATTGGCAGGACGTTGTTGACGTTGACGTAACCTCTGTCCAAGCTTGTCCCAGACATGCTCGATGGGGGAGAGGTCGGGACTCAGTGCTGGCCAAGGTAATGTGGTGATGTTCTGTTGTTGGAGGTAACCTGTAACGATCCTGGCCCTGTGACATCTTGCGTTGTCATCCTGGAAGATGAAACGGCGGCCATGACGTCGTGCGAACGGCACAACATGGACTGCCAAGATGTTGTCCCGGTAGTACTGGCCTGTAACACGCCCTGCAACAACATGTAAAGCCGTTCTTCCAGCAACAGTGATGCCTCCCCACACCATAACAGAACCACCCCCAAATCGATCATGTCTGATGACGTTAACGTCTTGGAAGCGCTCGTTTCGACGACGCCACACCCTCCTACGTCTGTCCAAAAAATCAACAGTGAACCTTGACTCATCTGAAAACATCACATTGCTCCAGCGTCGATTATCCCAGTGTTGACGATCCCTACACCAACGACGTCTTGCCTGAATGTGATGATCTCTCAAACAAGGGATCACGCGAGGACGTCGGGCGCGATGGTGACCCCTATGCAGTCGATTCCGAATCGTCTGGCCACTCACTCTCACACCAGTGTCTGTTTGAAGACGAGCGCTGATCTGATTTGCTGTGATAACACGATTTCTCAAGGCCAAGGTACGGATAAATTGATCCTGGGCTTGAGTTGACGCCCTTGGTCGACCTGAGCGTGGTCTGTCCTGTACAGATTGTGTATCACGGTATCTGGATCATAGCCTGCTTATGACAGACTGAGAAACATTCATCGTCCGCGCCACAACCGCCTGTGTTGTGCCGATCTGTAGCATGCCAAGGGCACGTAACCTTTCATTTTGGGTAAGCCGACGCATATCAAAATTTGTTTTCTGGTCACTAAAACAATTAAACTGATGTTTCCACCCTGGAATTCAATGCCACAATGACTGTAACATTCAAAGTCAGAGTCGTGCAAATCTTGGGTTGGACCCCCATGATGATCCCAAGCATCACCTGCATTCCATGCAGTAGCTATTGGTGCGTTTGGGCGTCACATGTAACTGGAAATGTTTCTTCTGTTAGGTTCTATAGTGACTTTTTTCGTAGTCATTTGCATATTTTAGTATTATGCCCCCAAAATCAAATATCCCCTACTTTTTTTGAATAGTATATATTAATTGTTGAATAGGGTGGTCATTCAGGGCATAGATCTATTCTCAAAGAAGATAGTTCGTGGGGTACAGACAGTTGACAAGATCCCGTCCGGGCTCCAAAAAAACAATATTTATATGTGTTTGCGGTGTGTAGGGTAATATTGGCTGTGTGAAACGTGCTATCATTTGTAGCCTATCTGACCCACGGTATATTATGTTTGACACTGGTCATTACGATTATGATTATAATGTTCAAAACCGCGTCATTTTTTGCCATTTGCGAGGGGCGCAAAAACTCAAAACCATGACGCAAAATGCGTCATAGCGTCCCTCTCAATTAGCCCTTGGGTGCAGAGTAGGGATGGTGGGTGCTTAATTGAGAGACGGGGTCATGATAACGACTGTGGTGTGGGTTAGATATTTCGGACATAAAAAACCCATTGTATTTTCATTATTATTGGTTTTGATTTTTAAAATATAGATGTTTCCACGTTACCAAAATGGCGCCGTACCGTGTACCTTATCTGTGGTTATGAACCACCTCAGCGTGTCGACATAACAGAAGAAGAAAAGATAGCTGCGCAGAAATTACTTACATCTGTTCACGAAGAGCCAAAATGGAAAATGTTTGTGAATTTAAATGCTTTGGTTTTAATGTCCTTTGGAATATTTCTATGGGGATTTTTTGGTTAAAGAAGGATAGAAAATGGTTTCAATTTTTATTATGAACATAATCTGCGAAATTATTTCTGTAGTTGGGAGAGACAAGTTATTGTGTTGGTGGCCACCTCTGGGTTTAGGTGTTTGTTACATTTGTAACTATGTACTTATTTTATGTTATTTATGTATATGTAGTTGTTTGTATTAACATATTATCTCTTTGATAATCGAGACGAAGTGTATTTTAAGGGATAGTTCCATCTTAAGTGTTCTTATCGCCAATCTGATTAAAACACGGATCCTATTTCGTTTAGTTTTTTTTTATAGTTCAAAATTTCGTTTTACTTGTCTTCACTATACTAGGATCTGGAAGAGTTGTTATATTATCGGCGTTTTGGTTGAAGGGAGGGGTAAGCCAATGAAACAGTCTGTTACGGCGACTTCTTGGCGTGCCATGCATGGAACTGTGGGTAAACCACTAGAAACGCCAACGCTGATGGATTAATCAATGTCTGAACTCATAGGGTCAAAAGCCGCTCGTACGACCCCTGACACTACCTCATAGTACAACTTTTCAGATCTTTATGTAGTGTAGGCCATCGAAAGTATAAAAAAACGAAACGAAATATAGATCTGTATTTTAATCAGATTGATTATATGGTATAAAACAGTTTGTCTATATAGTATAATGTACTGTTTTCTATGTAAATTCCGGTTGTAAATGTACTGTTTTCTATGTAAATTCCGGTTGAAATTTGAACGGAGGGGCGTTAATGCTGAAATGAGAACAGGTAGCATGCAATGTCTCTAGGTACCAATTGTATTGAAATTTTCACAGGACTTACAATCGCAATAAACACTCCGGTGTCCTGTATTAGTCTATACACTTAGTTGAATGCACTTTTCATAACTGTATTTTCATTTATTCACAGACCAAAGATAATAAAAGTTCACCCTTTTTTGTAGTATTCGTATTTGTGCTTTTCATATTGCTCCCCTGGCCGTCAGGCACATGACAATAGATGGTTATTGAAAAATTGTGGGGTTAAATTCAGGAATTTGTGGAAAGTTTTAACATCTGTTATGGAAAGTGACATTACTGAATGTAGTTTGTCTATTTATAGGAATTCAAATCAAATCGAGATAATCAACCCCCTATCAAGTTTATATCAGATAACTTTATTATGCTGTGTTCTTTTGGTTAAAGGAGCTAAATCGGTAGTATTTATTGCACATGCTCTTCAGATAAGAATTAGTGTTTTCAAAATGTCGAAGACTGTGGGTGATATTAAGAATGAGACTTAGCTACTTCAAAGTATTTCCAACAGATTGGGTAATCGAAAAATTTATTGTGGAAGCATTACCCTAATTAAAATGGCGTGTACACAGGGTGAAACAATATAAGGGTGAAACCACCTATAACACTAAAACACTTTATTTAGTTCCCCATATATTCCTACAATGCAGTGAAGAAAATCAAAATCAAAGCAGTGAATTAATGGTGGTCTGTGTACATAATGTTGATGTAATTTGACCATTTAAAGCATAAAATCTGAAATAAATTCTACCACACATCCCTTCCATAATATTTATACTAAAGCTGTGCTAAATAATAAAAAGATATGTATATTTGGATCTTTATTTAAACCATTATACATTTATTACATGAGTACTTGGTTTAATGAATGGTTTGTCTGAGTGTATACCACCACATAATGGCAATATCATTGATTACAATAAATTCTTTATGACTTCTCTTTATATTGAAATGTCATATTGGTGGTGATTTTATGTGGGTGTGTCGCATAGAACAGTTTGTTGGCATCTTTAAAATTTGATTGACATCTTAAGAATGTGTGTTGCAGCTTTATGTTTCTAAATTCGTATCAGCTTCTTCTATTAAATGTCTGTTCAACAGTTCATCACAAAAGTCTATTTATAAGTGAAAAGTTTTTATAAATTATGTCCTTAGTTGCCTTCCATATCCTCATCATCATCATCCGCCATGATAACTTCCACCATCTTCTTCTCCAACACAGGTGCTTTGGCTGTAAAAAGGGAGATAATTTTTATAATAAAGGAAATGACATTTTGACAAAATTAAATGAAACACTTAATTGCACTAGTTAGGATTTCAATATGGTGTGGTTCACTATTAAACATACATTATGTAAAAGCTAAATCTGCCTATTGCAGGTCTTTCTTTAGGCCTGAAATGTTGTCTAATTTATTAATTAGACATTAATTAAATTATCCAGCCAGACCATAATCAACACTATGTTTTTTATCGTACCAACTCGAGGCTAGGCCGAAAATTCAATCGCTAAAATCTCTGTTCAGAGTTTTTTTTAACTATTATAGTGAGAACTGCCAGCTCTTTATCTTATCTCCCATAATGTATCTTTAAGTAGGTGTGTGTAAACATGAGTGTGCTCTAACATCAGTCTTATACTGTTTCTGGTCCAACTGGGCTAATGAAGACAGGCATATGCCATACAGTCTGCTTGCTATGAGGGTAATTTTGGAAGGGACAGCGGCACTACGGCCTACTCTTTTTTTGAATTCCAACTGTCAAGGGTTCTTTTACATGCACACCAATGTGTACAGAGAATTTTGGTTTTCCATATCAACCAAACATCTATTCGTTGTCCCTTGCCAGATTCTCTGTCCTGCACCACTGCCATGGAGGAACCACACCAGAAAATCCTGATGGAATTTCTTGGTCAACACTGGGATCGACCACAGCATCTCCAGGTTAGCAGGCCAACTAAGCCACCGCGGCTCCCCAAACTTATAATGAAGAAATACAGAATAGTGTATTGACATTAGTATTATACTATACCCCCATTACAATAAGTACCATTATTGTCCCCTGTCTGTTTATCGCACGCCCTTTCAGCAAACTAGATAAAGATCAAATGTTTGCTTGCTTGATAGTGCAAGGAAATATAAATGTAGCACTACATTTCTGCAGCAAAAAGTATGAATGCAGGAAAGGAGGTTGTGCCGGTCGGGTATGGTGGTTCTGTGTTCTAGGATAATGGTGAGAGGAATCTCTTTAAATTTAGATCACAATCCACAGGAGCGAAACAAAGATGTCAATTTTATTTTACTATAGAAATGTACAAACCTCCTGGAGCTCTGATAAGATGAATATGTTTGTCAACTTCTCTGATGTCAGCCTCCTTCCGTAATTTCTTTCCTTCTTTTAATCTGAAATGAATATATGTAAAATAAAACTAAATATAAGCTCTAATATATTTCTAAACTCGGGATAAAAACAGTTTAACAGCCAGCTAAACAGCTATAAGGGCATCAAAATGAACGTCTCTAAATATTTTCCTTACTGTAAAATAAGTAATTTATATATAAAGCAACGATTTGTTATGTGTGGTTTTGTTAATGGATCACCTTTAAAAAAAACCCAATAACCATCAGTGATGAGATGAATTGGAAAAGAGAAGGTGGTTTAACGCCCACTCAACACAAATCAGTTCATTTCAGAACTAGGATAAGGTATAATTTTATTTCAATTATTCTCTTGCATGTAGGGGTCTTTAACAATAGGAGAGAGAGAGAAATGGGGTTTAATCTCCACTCGACACAAACTAGGTCATTTCAGGACTAATTTGATTCAATTTTATTTCCATAATTCGCTTGAGCGTAGGGGGTCTTTAGCTGTGGGAGGAAACCGGAGGACCCGGAGAAAACCCACGAGGTTGGACAGGCAACCCTACTCCTTGTCACGTACAACCATAGAATCGAAACCCCGCCAGTTGACTCAATGACAGACCGTATGATACATTGCGCGCATGCTAACCATTTGGCCATCCAACCCCCCCTAACAATAGGAGAAAATCCATGAGTTTAGGCAGGCAACTCTACTGTTTGCCACGCACATGTACATGCTTGATACCAAAAGCACGCTGCTTTACTCAATGACAGATCGTATGACCTAAAGCGGACACATTAGACCACTCGCCGACCCAACCTCATCATAGATGATTTGTTATCTTAAGAGAATGTCAATCATGCCACCTTTAAGAAAGCAAAAAATACTCAAAGGTGAATAATGAGATGTTAATCAATGTAATGATAAAATCATCTTGCAAATAGTTGTCTCAATTAATTATGCTAATACTACAAGCAGCCAACTATTGAAGAGGAGTGTAGAGTGAGGTAGGAAACAACATTTTAACACTCTACGACATGGCACCCCTTAAGGTCACACTAATTTCACGGTGCAATAATCACTTGAAAAGACATATTAGGGCATGTGATTGCTGCTGAGGATTGTAGGTTAGGATTAGTTCTAGAGTTAGCGCTAGCCCTGTGTACATCTCGTGACCTTGAAAAAATCTGCAGGTGGCCTTAATAGTTAGATCTAACCCTGTGACAAGGGAAAACCAGACTGGAAATTCCAGAGGAAATTCTCTGCCTAAACCTAAATCAGACCCCTGACCTCCAGGTTAGTGTGCCAGCACCTTATTCTCTGAGCCAAAGACATTTAGCCATTACATGATGAAGCTGCAAGCCGAAAACATAAGCCTAAATTGCTTTGGACTAACCAAAGAGTCTGGAGCATTTAAATTATTATGAAATTGGGATTGGTTCCACTTTAATAAATAATATCTATACCTGTTGATAATATGTTGGCCCTGTCGTTTCAATTTAATTTCTTCTACTCTCTTCATAGCCACCACTGTAATAATAATAATAATAATAAGATTTCATAATCAATACAGTCTAAATAACTTTTCACATTATTCATAAAAGAGTCCGGCCAGGTCAAGTAATTATTACATGTACCTTTCATTTTTCAATATGTTCATTAGTCATTCTTGCATTTTACATATATTTCAAAGGCTTTTCGCAACAGAATGTAGACCATTGTTACCTGGTGCATGTAAATACTGGCTACCCCAAACCTCTAAAAAAGTTAGAGAAAAGTGGGTTTTGCAGATACAACCACCAAGTCAGAGAACAATTATACTTCCTTAAAAAGTCAGAGAAAAGTGGGTTTTCGAGAAACAACTAGTACCACAGTCCTTAAATAATTTACATTTAAAAAAGATAGAACTCAATAACCATGGCATAACATGAGCGGTATTCAATGGTCATTGAGTTCTGTTTTCATTCCATAACCACATGCAAATCTCAAAATACATTATACTATCCAGATTATCTAAAAAAAAAAAAATCATCACCAATAACGTTAAAATTCATCATACATGTAGGTTCCGCCCTTTTTTTTTCTTTTTTTTTTATTACAAAAATTGTGGTTGCCTAGTGGTGATGTCATTACAGTTTGACGTAATTCTAAAAGTGACGTCATTCTGGACAAAAGTAGTATGTGTCCAAGCCATTGAATACAACCATACCTGTATTCAATGATATTTGCTTGTATTTGCATGTAGTTATAGAATAAATACATGTATATCCACTGTATGCTATAAAATTTATCTAGGATTTAAACAACAGACTATCTCAAGCCTATAGATACAATTTTAGAGGCTTGCCGCAGCCATATCAGACAACCCTCCTGCACATCAAGCAGTGGGTAATTTTCAATAACATTTATTATATATGCACTACCACTTTGCCTACATATACTTATAATAAATTACACAACCGTACATGTGTTATTCCACAGTTCTCTACTATATTTCACTGGAATATTTCTTTTCTTTTCAAATTCAAATGAAGGATCAACAGCCAAGTCTTTTCCTGTGGCTTTTCTGTAGGCTTTTGTCCATCTTGACTTTCTTGGATTTTTCCTTTTCTTGAAAGCTTTGTGGCATTTTCCTCGACAAAATTTAAAAACCTAAAATAGAGAACATTTACATGTATAAAAAACAATAACGTACAAGTATTACGTAGGCTACCTAGGCTACCGTAATCTAAAAAGAATCAAACTTTAATACTTTGTAGAACATTGGTCTACTAGTTGTGTCTGTCTTTTGCAGTACAAAATTTTGCATTTTAATACCAACGCAATCCCATTTTTCTCATTAAAGTTAGTAGCTTCTTGGAAATAATTTATAATATAATAAAACTAAATTGAACTTCTTTAACTCGTCCAAGCTATGATAACGTAGCTATAAACATTGAGATATACTGTGATGTGTTTGTTTTTAGATATGACTGGACGCCTTTAGTTTCACCTGACACACTTCATTTCCTTATGTAATGCATACATGTAATATCTTAAAAATAAGTTAATTTTGTGCTATAAAGGACTAATTAAACATACCAAGCCCAATTTATGTTTATCTGTCAATATTGTCAGTATTTTATCAAAATTTATAATGGATATTCATAATTACAGTGTATTAGTCATCAGCGTGATTCGGAAAGGTTTGTATTTTGATTATGTTGTTCTCTCCTACTTCATGACGTAAAACCTAACTGTTTAAAAATATTGGGTAAAGCCAGCTATTATCACTTTGATTAAAGATGGTTTGTACATGTACCCGTGCCAGGTAGGATTATATGCTTAATTGTAGTTTGTTGTGACAGAAATATAATAAATAACACTAATCAATTGTTGTTTTGAAGAAAAATTGACAGCTTTGCTTATAGAAATACTATCTGATTTGCATTGTACTTTATTGGCAGGTGAATCTATAGTACCATCTCTTGTCTTGAAACACAGAGGATAAACTCGTCCAAACGAACTATACATGTATACAGCATCAGCACAGTCACAATGTCCATTAAAAATTAAAGAGGCATTATGTAAGATTTCGATAAAGAGCTGATAAATAGATACACATGTAATGCAACATGAATATATTGAAAATTTCATTTAAATTACGGTACTTTATTTTGAGCGAAGTTATCAATGATTGTAGATTTGACAAGATGTGTGCAATGATTGTAACCACTGTACTGGTCAATCAAGTCTTAGCCTCGCTTCTCCATTTTTAAAGGCTGAACCGTTTTCATATACTTAAAATCGGAGCCATCTGTTGATTATGGTCTTGCCATGTTAATAAATGCATAAGTAATTAATAATTTATATTTAAGGCCCAAAGAAAGACCTTCAATACGCCACAATAGACAGACTTGGCCCTTAAATAATGCTTGTTTAAGTAGACAAATTGTGACTCACTGAACCAAAATGCCGAAAATGATACTTGATTTGGGGCCGAACGATTTACCTTAGCTTAATCTTAGTATCCATATAACATAACGACAATAGTGAATAGTAATACTAGTAGTCATGGGTTATAGACATAACGGCTCTAAACCATAACGGCCAAAAAATTTGGTCATAACGGCCAAAATATTTGGTCGGAACGGCCAAAATATTTAGTCGAAACGGCCAAAATATTTAGTCATAACGGCCAAGAAAATATAAACCATTTTTTACATGCAGGAAATGATATTTATTCACATAGATATTGCCTAACAGATAATATAAATAGATACATTAGCTAAACATTAATTTAATACATGAAAAAAAAACAAAAAAAAAATGGATTGCTTGTTGTTGTTTATTAAAGATTTAACGTCCAATACAGGTTGGTTTAATTAAATTATTTACACTTGAAAATTGTTAAAAACACAAAAGTCTTTTACCTTTATTACCTAATCACTGATCAGAGGGTGTGAAGTACCTACATGTAATTAGGGATTATTCAATCAGTTGATTAATTAGTACTTACCTCTTTCCTTTCTCTGACGAATGAATTGTTATTTTTGTCAAATGATAAAAGTCAATTGTTATTTTTATCAAAGATAAGTATAATATTTGCTCAGACCACGTATGACAGAATTGAACCACCTTGTTAGCTAATCCAAAATAGATATAATATGCATACAGGAAACGAAATTAGATCCAAAGCAGAAGGACCCAAAACCGTCTGGGTTCACTACTTTAGTGCATTAGGTGTAGTTATTCCTGAATTTAATGTTAATATAATATAAAAGATAGGTTGCCAGGCAATGAAACATACGCCCACAGCAGCTAAATCGTCCGGGCAGTCTAAAAGAGTTGTCGCATATTTTTACTTTTTTCGATAATGAAACATTTATAATACACTAAAATCTGATTAAGGTAACAACTCATAAAGTTATAATCGTTGTAAGACATATAGAGGTAGATTTCACAAATTAAAAACACTTATATGGATATACTACTTCTGAATTTATTAACATGCTACGTTTCGATACACATACAGATATCGTTATCAAGCAAATAATGATATATAACAAAAATGTGGTGCAATATATAGTTAACAAATTGGAAACCATGTAACAGATTAATCATTAATTAAGAATAAATAAGGTGAGAGAAGTAATAATATGGATAAACAATTACAAAGGGATTAACAAGATGAAAGACTGTAATGTATTGATAACAATTAGAAATATTAGCAGATCAAACTAATAATTATAAGAGATTAACTATATGAGAGATAGGAATATATATATATACAAGATGAGGGGGTTAACCACACAGGCAAGAAATCGAAAACTAGGGGAAATGAAATGAAATGAAATGAAATGAAATGTGCTATGAGGGAAATTTTGCCCGGACAGCGGCACTACGGCCTACTCTTATATCGAATTCCAACTGCCAAGCGATCTTTTACGTGAATGCCAATGTGTACACGGGACCTCGGTTTTTTGTCTCATCCGAACGACTAGACAGCTTTCCTTGTCAGCCCCTCCGTCCTGCATCACTGACAAGGGAGAACCACGCCAGAAAATCTGGATGAACTTTCTCGGCCAATGCAGGGATCGAACACCCGTCCTCCAGGCTAGCGAGCTAGCGTCTTACCCACTTAGCCACGTGATCCCCGAAAACTAGGGGAAGGAAACCAAAATGTATTGATAACATTTAGAAATTATCAGATAAAACTAATAATTATACGAGATTATTGGGATAACAGATGGCAATATATAGATACATGCAACAAATAAACACTAATATAGCAGGTGAAACCATAATTACGAGATGAAAATGGTTAATTATTATTACTTCTCTCACCTTATTTATTCTTAATTAATGATTAATCTGTTACATGGTTTCCAATTTGTTAACTATATATTGCACCACATTTTTGTTATATATCATTATTTGCTTGATAACGATATCTGTATGTGTATCGAAACGTAGCATGTAAATAAATTCAGAAGTAGTATATCCATATAAGTGTGTTTAATTTAACTCATAAAGTAATTATCAGAAAATCATTAGGATTTGTTTGGTTTTTATAAAGTTCTGCCCCATGATAACATTTAGTATACAAAACATTTAATATCATGGATTTAGCTGTTTAGTTATCAAATTCATTGAAAATCAAAATACTTGTTCATCTCTAGACCTTAAACTCTGTAATCAACCTATCCATAATATTATCATATCTTACGTATTGGTTCTGCCCCATGCTAACATTTAGTATACAAAACATTTAATATCATGGATTTAGCTGTTTAGTTATCAAAATTCATTGAAAATAAATACTTGTTCATCTCATTCTCAAGACCATAAACTCTGTAAATCAACCTATCCATAATATTATCATATCTAACGTATTGGACGTTAAATCTTTAATAAACAACAACAATATCTTGTTTTTAATAAAATTAAAATTTTTGGCCGTTATGACCAAATCTTTTGGCAGTTATAACCAAACTGTTTGGCCGTTATGACCAAACCTCAACCTGTTTTTGGCCGTTGTGACTACATCCCTTAGTCACTACTACAGTACAAATACGATTCATAAGGGATCCTCGAGAAACTCTAGATCCTTCACTGTAGTCTATGGATCTTGTCCACATTTTCAGAAGGACCACCAATGACTCTCCTGGCATTTTCATACGGCAGAAGATATGGAACATTATGTAGCCTACTGCTGGTTCGAACACGTGGTACTGGTAGTGGTAAACAAATTGTGTTTTGATTTGATTTTTCAACTCACTTCAAACGGCAAATATAGAAAAAATCGACCATATTAGTTTGATTTTCTTTACTTACTTTACAGTCGTTACGTACAAAATGAATACCGTGACCGGGATGAACTGTTGAAGAACAAAAATAGCACTTTTCTAACCGCATTTTGAATGTTTATTATTATTTACTGTTCACTCTACCACCATGTTTACTAAAAGACAGATTGCGAGGAAATTGTGAAACATCCTTCTGATTGGTCAATATTCCAGGTCCTATTTTGGGAGTTGTCTCCCCTTAAACATAAATAATCAAGTTAATAAATATGGTCTAAAGGTGAAAAGGCGGATAAATCGTTGAAATGATAAAATAGTCACATAGCTTGAGGTAGCCCCCCCCCCTTTTTTTTTACCAGGAACATACAATATAGCCGACGAACAATAGAAAACGGCACTAAAGCTTACATCTATAAGGGACATCATTATAGGCTCCTCTCCGAAAGTAAGGGGGGTTGGATGGCTGAATGGTTAGCGTGCGCGCGCTGTATCATAAAGTCTGTCATTGAGTCGACTGGCGTGGTTTCGAATCCCCGGTTGTACGTGGCAAGGAGTAGGGTCGCCTGTCCAACCTCGTGGGTTTTCTCCGGGTCCTCCGGTTTCCTCCCACTGCTAAAGACCCCTACGCGCAAGCGAATTATGTAAATAAAATTCAAAACCATATGTTAGTCCCGAAATGACCTAGTTTGTGTCGAGTGGACGTTAAACCCCATTTCTCTCTCTCTCTCTCTCCGAAAGTAATTCATTGCCAAATAGCTCAAAACCATAAAGTGAGACAATTTTTAATAGCAAGACACCAATCTGTTTCACAGAGGATTAAGAAAATCTTCTATTTGTCGCGGGCTAGCGAATATTCACTGCTGATCAGTGTGGCAAGGCACATGTAGTTCAAAAACTTTAATCTGTTGCGTGTTTCGACGACATGGGCAATCAAAACTAGAAAAATGTATGAACGGTTTAATAGGAAAGGAACATTCCCCGCAAATGACCCGTATTCACAAGAAATTTCTAAAATCGGTCTTATAAAAAAAAATACCTTGACATTTACAGAGAGAGCGTGGAGGGGGGGGGGGGGGGGTAACGTCCACGCGACACAAAGAATTTCCAAAATTCTGACATCTTACGTGAAAAGGGTTCATAAGACCCACTGCGTAATTGCAAAAAAAAGACAATTCGCCGCAAATGGTAACCCATGGACAGCTCACAGAACAACATTTCCCTTACAATATTAGAGTAACCCAACAATAGGAATTCGAAATAAGAGTACACCGTATCGCCACTGCCCGGGCGAAAAATTCCCTCATAGCTGAATGCAGAAATGTACAGGGTGTGCAAACAAGCAGGACGTTAAATCCAATATCATTTCTATAAGAAGAAGTCAAACAAATCGTGAAAATGACCCTTATAAAAAATGATCATCATAAACATTACACCTGTCATTTTACAGACAGAACTGTCAAGTTGATATTCAGACTTTCTAACCATCATCAATTATCCTTATTTACGCTCCTTGACACGACACAGACATTAGAAAAACCACGCACCAATTGAATTAAAGGTTACTTCTATCGATTTGTATCCTGTATTAGACTATGGTATAGCTGCCTCATTTTATAACAAAAAATCTAAATCATTTATTGAAAAAAAATCCACAACAAAATCACAACACGAAATATATAATTAGATTTTCGCGTTTTCAGGATACTTTAAATTAGTTTCATTGTATACGAATTCAGGTTCGTTTTATTCATTGACTAATTTTATTTCTTGTTTTATCAAATTTAAACCCAACCCTTAATTCTTTGATATTTAATATAAAGTATGATTTTTTGAAATGGGGTTTAACGTCCTACTGTTCTGCTCCTACTGGGCTAATGAAGACGGACATACGTCATACAGTGTGCTATGAGGGAATTTTGCCTGGGCAGCGGCACTATGGCCTACCCTTGTATCGAACTCCAGCTGCCAAGGGATCTTTTAAGTGCACACCATCCGAACGACTATAAATAATGAGCGTAAACTCCAATATAAATATATAACACCCGTAAATTCGTGAATCTAGAGAAACAAATACAGATTCAGATACTGTTCGATCTAACACAATCTGTCCTTTAATTGATGCAATTCCATTCATTCCCACAATGATGAATTACCCCAGCATCCCAACCCGAATTGTGCGATTGAGACAATATAGCACAAGTAGCAATTAATGTTTAAAATGTCAAAATGCTATTTACAAAGGATTTATTTAATTCAATCGTTAACAATTTAAATTTGAACTTATCTAATAAAATAAAACCAAGTACGAACAATCAAAACCATTAGACAAAATTCGAAGTCCTAAAAAACGGTATTGGCTAAATAGTGTAATCAGCAAAAAGACTGTTCAGCGTGTACAAAATACACGACGAACAGTGGTAACAGGTGTCCAGAAGGATAAGCTTATCCCCCCTGGCGCCACAGCCGCCATAGCTGCATCCAAACAATTAGACAAAATCGGTAAAATTGCGTAATTGGCCAATGGACTTTCCCTATGCAAAATGCACACGATGAACAGTGTTAACAAATGTCGTAGACATAACCAGGAAGATAGTATACACGTCAATTTAATATATCTAGAATAATAGCCGGAAGAGGCATGTCGTATTTACTATTCAAGTCATTTTGACGGCCATAAAACTTTTTGAAGGTTTTTGCAAGTTTAGTGGGCAAGTATCCCTGTAGTTGAAGCTTAGATGACAGATGCCTCGATCTGCCTTTAAAAATCAGAATAAAAGGAACAAGCTCTCGCGTATCGTACTAGCTGAGACACATACATTCCATAAGCTGGTGAAAGTGGAATGTTACTACTAATAAATGAAAAGTTTACAATCAGAAAGTCAAAGTCATCACGTTTATCGTACAATTTAACACTCAGTTTATGGCAATTGTCGAAATCGAGACGCAATGTAATTATATAGGGTTTATTTTAGTTCTATGAAAGGTGTCCTGTTTAAAATATTGAAGTGGTTATATAAACAAATGGGTGAAAACGAGAAATCGGCTAAGTAGATATTTTGCAATATTCAACTTTCTTAGACTAACTCACAGACAGTCCCTGCCACTATCAATTACTGAAAGTAGGGTACTATCGTCCAGTCATCTCGTGCAGCGATTAGTCCAATTAAATAGAATAATGTTGACATAAAACGGTGCCCATACAAAACACTTACCCAAAAATGGTAATTGTCCCACCCTAATAGCTGAGGCATCTATACTTTCTATAAAACAAGAGCAGGGTTAAATATCCCTTCATACATCATCCGGCGTTCCTAGCCATACGACTAGCCGCCTCTGCTTAGGAGGCAGGGATACCGACCGTAATGGCTCTCGCCACAGAACACGAGCTAAGTGATAGAAAACTTATATTTAGCTTATATGTCATAGCTGTGTGTGTAGTTTCCTGTATGTAACTTATGTATGCTATATAGATATAAAACAAAGCGTTCCAGAGTCAATTGATCCTTGGAAATAGTTTATACACAACGTGAAGTCAAAGTTAGTTCCTAATTGACTGTAGTGTCACAGTAGATTCAAGCAGGAAGCGTAATTGTCACTGTCTGTAGTATTCTTAATTTCGAGCTCATCAGGATATATGAATTCTACACAATCATTAACTTTAGGATTATTCAGGGACAGAACATCACCGATATATCGATAAGTGAAATTAAAATGCCTGACTAATCGTTTATTGGTTTTGACGAGTGCCTGGTATATAATTGGCGTCGTAAACACATCAGCAAGCAAAGGTGTACAGTTGGTGCCCATGGGGATACCCACCACTTGCTGATATATTTCCCCTCCAAATTCAACAAAGATATTCTGAATTATATTGTTGGCGGTGTACTTATTTTTGGAATTACTATGGTAATATGTGGAATTGTAATTAACAAGTAGATATTCATATCTAATAGTTTCCGATCTGGAAGAAAAGACATTATGAATAATGACTTTTAACCGAGCTTTTAATTTACTATGGGGAATTTTAGTGTACATTTTAGTGTACAAGGTAGAAAAGTCAAACGTTTGTGTAGATGAGACTGAAGCAAGTGACCTAGATTGCAAACAATCAAGTAATTCTTTGGAAATTGTTAATATCCACATTTGATTGATACCACTACGAGAGAATTTTTTGTCACAGTATGTTTGAATACCCTCTTTAGTATAGATGTCAATAGTTTTGAAAGTAGTTTTGTGGAATAACGGATTGAGCCTGCTATAAAACGTTGTTTGTAGGTATTTTTATGCTGTTTAGGTATCCAATAGGGTACCAAATGAAATGAGATCTGTGATTTGATATGATTTCACCCTTACTAAGAGTAGAGCGTCGACTGATTTCCCGAAACCAAGTTCTTTGAAGAGATAGTCATAATAATATCGCTTACATATAAACTTATGTTATTGGACGCTTTGTTAGCCGGAACAACGACATACTTGTCATGTAAGGCGTTGAGATTTTCTACAATGTTAACATCATTGAAAATAGATTTAGGCCTAGGGCCAGCTAACAAACGTTGCGTGTAAGTTCTTCGTTTTAGTAAACGACTGATAGACTTAGTCCAATCCGAGAGCGTATCAGAGATAACATCTTCCGTCTTGGCCCATGATCTAGCGTAGTCCTCTGCTGCATCCATAATAAGTTTGAAATTTTGATTCCATGAAAATAGTTGCAGTTCCCGGTATTTGGGTCCTTTGGTGAAAATCTCACGTAACTTATAATTCTGGACTATGTTCAAGTTACCAGTCTAGATGGTTGCTAAAGGAAGGACGAAGTAGAGCAAAAACAGGGTAGAGGGTTATCATATAATTTTTTTGCATTGATGTAATTAAATATTGTGGATGCAATGGAATTAGTAGAAGTATAGGAAATCCTAGGAGCAGTAACCGTTTTGAAGTAAGGAGATGTGTGTGTGCTGTGACTTGCTTATGGTGTAGTATTTGACTTTCAAGCCGATAGCATCAATGCCTTTATTAGCAAATTTCAGTTTTATAAATAATGCTGGTAGTGTTAGACACATCATGCTCAGGCTCAACGTCCAAACGACGGTAGGCAATGTCAAGAACAATGGATACAACCCTGTATTCTGTAGAGGCAGGATCAGTACAATTAGAATCCAAATATTCAGATTTAAGTAATTTTCAAAAAAGT